AGCATGAATTTGTATTTTGTGATATGAGTTTCAGCTTTGGATATTTTGGTCATTCTTACTGTGAAGTGTCATACGACTGATTATTTGTCATCTACTGTTTGTTGGCATTGCGTGACACATGTAACAACAGACGTTTCTGACCTGTCTTCATCTAATATTGTCATTGGGTATTTCAACAAAAGTACACAATTTTGGCATATTACCATGTTAAAGAAGTGATCCGTTACAAATTTGAGTTGTATAAGACCACTTCACTGCTAATTGTGACATTCTATTTGGACTGTTAAATAACAAATCTCGTATAACATTTGGTATTCCATGACAAGTATTCTAAGTTATAAAAACAAATATCACCATTTGAACATTTACATACATATAGCACAACGTGATGGCATGGGAGACTAATGATACACATTTTATGTCTTGTACTGACGCCCCAACAAGATTGATATTTTGAGTTAAATTATCTAACCTTTAAGCAAAGTGTAATGGTTCGTGTGAACCATCTAGTAACACCAGCAGTGATTCCAGTGGTGGGGGCACAACAGTCACTAGTCAGGTACTGTATGTATATACAAATGAGAAATCCTTTGTAAAACCTCCCATTTAGCTGTTATTTATTCAGATGTTTAGAAGTTTAACATTTATTATCAGTAGCTAATGCAAAGCATGAGACAGTTGTTGATAAGAGCCCACTTTTTAATTTTTTAATACTGTATGTGTGCTTAATATATAGTGTACATAACATATGAATTATATAATATATACACTGTCAAGATACAGAATCTATACAGTTTAACACACACTGGATAATTGTGACAACAAACTAACTACTTGCCACACTTCATATTGATTATAAGCTGTACAGTCATATGGGACAACTACTGCAATGATGTATATGTTCCTCACTACATAACACAGTATACAATAGCATCTGTTGTTTAGGACCAAGCAGAAGCAAGTTGTATACTAGTATGTGATATCTAATATGCTGTTATCCTTTAAGCATAAAGCTAAAAAAAAATTCTTAAATAGTTTCACTAATATATTTAGTTAGGCAGAACATAAGAAGGTAATAGTTCTTTAGATACAATGAATTCAACAATATTTCAATATTTCTTTGCCAGTTTCAAGAATGTTTCAGAAGATGTGGATCAGGTTTTACTTAATCAAATAAATAAATACTAAATCATATAGTTACACGAGAATATAAACTTGCATCATTAAGGCCATCAATATGGACCTCATCTGAAATAGACACAAAGATGGACAGGCATTGACTTACCTTCAGACTATTAATCATTAGAAAATCGATATTTGATCAATTGTGCTGGGAGGTTTTATGTGTGCAAACCTGTTCCAATAATTATGCTTAAGAATATGTTGTAGGTATTATTTATTCATGACCAGAACATATTAGGCTGTAATGTTCACTGTTATCAAATGGGTTTTTATTAACCTTCTGACAACAGTTTGAATACACACTGGCTTTGACTAAAGTACCTCATTTCCCAAGGGCATTACCTTGGAATAGTTATAAGCAGAGCATGCTTACAACCTTCACAATCAACATGTCATCTCTCTTACAGCTTCAATCAGTCCATTGGAAATATTGTGCAAGTACACTCTAATGTCAAGCCGACAACATAGGATGGTGCTGATAACATCAACCACTGGCTTGTCTGGTTCTGACTGGACGTATAGAGAGGATGCCATGATATTGTCGGACTGCAGCTTTAAGAGCATTCACAACAGTGCCCAAGTAATGTACACCCATTGTGTTAGTTACACCCAGCAATGTAATAACAGCCTATTACAGTTATTAAACTCAGGGAAACACCAATTATATCAAACATGCAAACAGCTTTTTTTGATGAATTAATTGTTTCCCACAGGACTGTAGCCAAGGAAATTTGTCTCTGAAATCTTATCCCATATGCCAAAATCAATCATTTGATGAAGTTTATTGACCGATGTTTTCTCTGGAGATTGCTATGGTGTTACATTCTGTGGATACAGTATACTGGGGCATTAGTATTGATTCACCAGTCTATTAGGAGGGTTAAGAAGATTATACAGATGAGCGCAACCCAACACAGCCCTCAGCGTTTTGTCCATGTATCATTCTTGTATTCTACAGATTCTGTGAACCATTATGATTGGTAGGCTAAAAAAACACAGATACTTTACCAGACCTGACTTTTGAAGAATTGGTCTGTCAGCCAGACAAACCAGTTTTTTAGTTTGAAAAAGTTTTTATGAGCCATGAGACATAATTTGTATCATTTTGACTGTAAGTAGATATGGAGTCTATTGATTCCTTGAAACACTATGAAGAAAACACTAACAAAATAACTTGCTGGGAATTTTTGAAAAAACTGAAGATTGTGTCAGTTTTGAAATTTACCATGATCTGTGAAACATATTATATATATGAGGGAGATAGCATGTAACTCTAGAATCCAGTGATCCTTCAATCCCATGTAGGATCCAGTTTATTTGTATAAATCCATTCCTGAGATGAGCCAACATGGTAACCTCACAATGACTAGCCAGCATATTATATGTATGCTTCCAACAAGGTTGCCTCCATTCACCGTGCAAAAAGTATTCGGACACTTGACGTCATTTCCATAGACTTACATGTTATTTCAGTGTAGCATAAATAATGTTCATGAAGTGAGTTTAGGGTGGATCTTTGTCAAATTTGACAGGCAAATTTGAACTCACATAATTTCAGTTCAATTCTCCGACCACTATTTAACTGATGACATCACATTTATCAACTTACATGTACATATGTTGATAAAATTGTTGCCATTCGATAAATAAGCAACAGAAAATTAACAGAAATTGTGTGATTGTAGGTAAGATGATTCCTCACAAATGTGCAAAATTTGACTTGGATCTTACAAAAATGAAATTCAAGAAAATTATTTATTCTACACTAAATTAACATGTACTTCTATGGAAATTACGTCAAGTGTCCGAATACATTTCACGACTCTGCATGTGTAGTGTAGAAGCATTCCAAGTACACTTGCACTACAAAGCCAGGAATAATGTAGCAGCTGAGATTTGTTGCAAACTGTTGCAAAATAACAAAAACAATGTTTATTTTCATGATATATCTAGGATGTGTCTCTTGATGGCCTTAATGCTCATTTTTAACTACCTACACTTCATTCATTAGTCTAGAATTATATGCTTATCTGTGACTGCTCTGAATAAATGTTCAAACTTAAATAGAACTGACATAGCTAGGACTGGACCATTATTCCATTGAAACTACTGCTGCTGCTACTGCTATATTGTTGTAGCCAGAGACTGCATACAGCACAGGACTTTATCATCGTTAGTTATGTGGCCCAGCAACAAGAGTAGGTTCCAGGTACTAGTGCACTGAAGACAGCTGGGTTTCAGGTAAGGAGTTGAGTTGGTCAAACTGGTAATGTATGGTCAGTTCAGTGAGTGTTTTACATTCAAGTGATCAAACACCGAGTAACAATCGTTCTTTGTGGCATGTGACCCATACAAACCATCAGATGATCAAATATCCATGTTGTCGGTGAACACTGACAACTTTACCCCAGGTCTGGCAAACCATCAGATGATTTAGCCACTACGACATCCTTATCCATTGTTCAGTAGACACTACACGTCCATGCCTGTACTCCTGACTCCATTCAGCCACTATGACATGGAGCTGGAGATCATTCTGTCCTTATCCATTGTTCAGTAGACACTACACGTCCATGCCTGTACTCCTGACTCCATTCAGCCACTATGACATGGAGCTGGAGATCATTCTGTCCTTATCTATTGTTCAGTAGACACTACACGTCCATGCCTGTACTCCTGACTCCATTCAGCCACTATGACATGGAGCTGGAGATCATTCTGTCCTTATCCATTGTTCAGTAGACACTACACGTCCATGCCTGTACTCCTGACTCCATTCAGCCACTATGACATGGAGCTTGAGATCCTTCTGCCCTTATCCATTGTTCAGTAGACACTACACGTCCATGCCTGTACTCCTGACTCCAACCAGCTGCTATGACATGGAGCTGGAGATCCTTCTGCCCTTATCCATTGTTCAGTAGACACTAGACGTCAATGCCTGTACTCCTGACTCCATTCAGCCGCTATGACATGGAGCTGGAGATCCTTCTGTCCTTATCCATTGTTCAGTAGACACTAGACATCAATGCCTGTACTCCTGACTCCATTCAGCCACTATGACATGGAGCTGGAGATCCTTCTGTCCTTATCCATTGTTCAGTAGACACTAGACGTCCATGCCTGTACTCCATTCAGCCACTATGACATGGAGCTGGAGATCCTTCTGCCCTTATCCATTGTTCAGTAGACACTAGACGTCCATGCCTGTACTCCATTCAGCCACTATGACATGGAGCTGGAGATCCTTCTGCCCTTATCCATTGTTCAGTAGACACTAGACGTCCATGCCTGTACTCCATTCAGCCACTATGACATGGAGCTGGAGATCCTTCTGCCCTTATCCATTGTTCAGTAGACACTACACGTCCATGCCTGTACTCCTGACTCCATTCAGCCACTATGACATGGAGCTGGAGATCCTTCTGCCCTTATCCATTGTTCAGTAGACACTAGACGTCCATGCCTGTACTCCTGACTCCATTCAGCCGCTATGACATGGAGCTGGAGATCCTTCTGCCCTTATCCATTAGACACTAGACGTACTCCTGACTCCGTTCAGCCGCCATGACATGGAGCTGGAGATCCTTCTGCCCTTATCCATTGTTCAGTAGACACTAGACGTCCATGCCTGTACTCCTGACTCCATTCAGCCACTATGACATGGAGCTGGAGATCCTTCTGCCCTTATCCAGTAGACACTAGACGTCCATGCCTGTACTCCATTCAGCCACTATGACATGGAGCTGGCCATACACTGTTCAGAAGAGACTGAACATCTACCAGCTATTTTCGTTTGAAAACAACAAAACATATTAGAACAATATATAAAATTTAATACTGCACACCTCCCATAAAGCACTTGCCCTATTGTGTAACAATGACATTAAGTATGAACATAACTCTGTTGAGATGATACTGGTCCAAATAAGAAAATGGTGGATCAGGTATTGTCAAGATCAACATCTTAGATAATCAACACAACACTTATCTTGCAACATCATAACAATCAAAGACAAATGAACCTGAAGCAAGGTATCAACAGATTACCTCATTATCATCTTGTTTCATAAAACAGCTCTAAGTCAGGGAACATCTCCCTTGAATGGTACATGCTTACCAACATGTCCTACTGCAGACAAAGTAAAACAAGACTATGTATTTAGAGGTTGCTGTCCTGTTCAAATGACATTTCAGACCTAGCTCCTTAGGCTTGCGCTTTTTGCCAAGAGTGAAGGGACTGAGCCACACGAGATCCTACTGAATCATGGGGCTTGACAAATCTTTCTGAAAAAATGAATTTACATTCAAAACATCTACAGAAAGTCAGCAGAACAGGTATTCATTTCTGACCAATGTCAACAACAGGAGCATACCTGTCGCTACCTACATCTTACACTGCACAGTATACCAAGAACCTAAGTGCCGATCTATATGGACCAGCTTCAGGGGCAGAAAAACATCATCAGACTGTGGCATGGTAACCAATGATATCACACTGGTCTACAAAGCATTGTGATGCAATGTCATAGTGGTGATATTTCCCATGGAAGCCAGGTTTGGGTGATATATGGGGTGTACCCTGTACAGGTGGATACAGACAGGTGCATACAGACAGCTGACATATAGCACCAGGGACATAGCACGGTCACAGCACAACAGGATGTAGGTAAGTAGTAGGTGTCTTCACATTTGGTGACTATACTGAGTATTGGAGGACTAGAAATTACTTGTGAGATGATCGCATAATTAATAACAAATATTATCGTACTAACTGTATAATATCTATGACATACACACAGCCCCATACTTTTCAAACATTTGGACCTGACAAAACAAATTATACTTCTTAAGACAAATACTCAAACACAGTGAAAAGTCCCAATGATTTAGAGGCTTTGAATCCTGTGTTGTGCTGACCACACACCCATCCACTAGTGTGGCACATTATAGTATACTGTATATTGGCTGCATGACTGCCATACACACAGGACAAGATGCAGCCCAGGGCAAGATGGAGCCCAGGACAAGATGCAGCCCAGGGTACAACATTCAGCTCTGATCTACTTCCTGTTACACTCCAGTTACTCCTCGTAACAGGGAGATCTGCTGTTTTCACATTCTGTTGGTACATACAGTCTTTACAATTCAAAATATGAAGCTATGGTTGAAAGATCATTGTAAGGAGAAATAACATCCATACAAAGACTGTGAGTGATGATGATGTGTTCACTTGGGTGTATCCTGGAAGAGAGCAGTGTAGAACTCCGACTCCGTCAAGCTGCTGCGATACTTGTTGACCACCTCCTGGATCTTCAGCTTGCGTCTTACATGGGGAGGCTGGTACCTGCAGGGAATATACATCAATAACTGGCCCTGCATTCACTGTATGACCAACAGATGGTGAGGTGGGATACATACTTTATGCCACCATAAAAGTAACCTATTGTCAGGTCAGTTCATGACAATAAATACACATTTAAAAAGCATGATAAATCTAACATTTCTTATGCTCATTTGAAAAGCACTTGTTAAGCAAGTTGAATAATGTAATTTTCTGATTAAAATTGATATTTTATACTTATCCTGACTCATGCTCTTTTGCTTGTCTTCTTCTTCTTGCGAACACAGTGGAACACTTGTATCTCCCTAATTGAAGCTCCCTTCAATGTAAAATCACTAATTAGTACTCACCAAGAGTTGCCTCCCTCTTCCAAATGCGCGGGAAAGGAGGCGCCACCTCTTCCCTCATGCTTCACTCTCTCCTGATATAGGGAGCCCAACACTTGAATTTACTGGGAAATCCAAAGTGTTATGTGGGGAGGATGGGAGGGCTTACCTCATGAGTCAGGATGAGTATAAAATATCAATTTTACTCTAAAAATTACATATTTTTCCTTATCCTGACTCATGCTTATTTGCTTGTAGAATCCTACGGAAACGGAGGTGGGAAAACAGGATACTTTGGATTTAAATAATTAGTGATTTCTGTATAAGTAATAACCCCCTACGGGAACTTCCTAATGGCACTGTAATTAAGCTAATTCCTGCTGCTATAAAACATAAGTTCTACCAGCTGCCATAGATGGGGGTACTACAATATATAGATACTATGATAATAGTAATAATGGTATAAAGCGACACCAAAGTGGAGAAGCGACCCAATGTACATATAACATCAGTACTGGGCTTAAGACTACTATAGACTTAAGATATGTATATAATAGCACAAAACTCCGTAGAGTTATAAGCTAGATGATACTGGTATGATATATACATAATAATCTCGTGAGACTAATCATCTTCTACGAGGGACTGTCAACTGCTGTGTGAGGACCATGGGACCGAAATGGTGAATACCTGAGACGTCCTCGGTGGTGATATCTCTCAGATAGTTGTTAGCAAACACCATGTCGGATTTCCAAAAGCAGCCCTCCATAATGGTATTCAACGAGCAATTTCCGTGTAGAGTGAGTGTGGAAGCCAGTGCTCTGATTTCATGGGGGTTAGATGCTCTTGGAGGGTCGAGTCCTGCAGCCTTGTATGACTGTTCTGATCCATATCGATATGGTGGTACGAGAGACTTCGGTCTGAGTCGCTGTCGATAGAGGGATGAATAACCGCTTGAGTTGTCGTCGCTTCGTTTTGGATTGTTGTAGATAGATTTTGAGTGCTCTCACTGGGCATAAAGATAGGTCAAGTGTATCTTGAGGTCCGAGAATTGAGGAAAGTGCAGGGACATGGAATAATCTGTCTGGTTGACCTGGCAATTGATTCTTGGCGATAAAGTCCCATTGCAGTCCCATATGCACTATGTTTTGATTGTCATCGAAACGTATTCTCTCATAATCTAGTGCGTGAATTTCTGACATCCTGGCTGCCGTTGCTAGGGATAACAGGAACAATGTTTTCTGTGACAGAAATTCAAAGGATGTCGATTCCAGTGGTTCATAGGCCTCACTTGTGAGGTGTTGGAGCACTATATTTAGATCCCATGCTGGAGCGCGAAATCTCTGTTTCTGATCCTCCAATCGGAATGAACGTAGCAAGGCCAGTAACTCTGGCGTTTTCGTTAACTTGACAGCCGTTCTCATAGTTATCACAGAACTTAGAGCTGCGAGATATGTTGACAATGTCGAGCCTTTAAGATGTTTAGTTTGTCGTAGGTAACACAGGTAGTCAGCCACTTGTGGATGTGTAGCATTTCTAGCTGTAAATCCCTTTTTAGCAGCGTATGTTTCAAAACTGTGCCACTTGTCGTCATACAAGTTGCGCGTAGAATTGCGTAAAGCAAGCATGACTGCTTACGCCGCTCTGGCTGAATAACGTCTCTTGTTTAGACACACTTTAATACAGTCCATACGTGAAGTTGGAATGCTTCTGGGTTTCCGTGCGCTTGTTTGGTGTGAGGATGTACTAGTAGATTCGAGCGCTTTGGTAGTTGTAATGTTGGTTGTCCGATTTCTTGAATTAGAATGGGAAACCACGTTCTCCAAGCTGGCCAGTAGGGGCGACCAAAATCAGTTGGAGGCTCTGAGTTTGTCTGATTTTCTGTAACACCTGTGGAATTAGCGTGGCGTGGAAGCTGCAGACGCATGTTGAGGCCTTCCCAGGATATGCTTAGTGCGTCCGTTGCCCATGCTTGTGGATCCGGGACTGGTGATACGAATGTTGTTAGCTGATTGTTGAAGCGAGTGGCGAATAGGTCTACTAGCGGAGCTCCTATTTCCTTGATAATCTGTGCAAAGATTTCTGTATGGAGCATCCATTCTGTCGGTGACGGTAGATGTGGCCGAGAGAGTGCGTCTGCTAGTACATTCTTGGCTCCCGGAATGTGGCATGCTCTGACATGTATGTTGAGATCGTCGATTAGATCGAACAGTTGAAAGCATAGAGTAAATAGGTTCAATGATCTCGTTGAGCCTTGTTTGTTTACATAAAACGCCACTGTTGAGTTGTCGGTGTGAATCATCATATGCGCATTCTGTAGAATAGTGCTCCAATGTAGTAGGGCGTTGATTACTGCTTTCATTTCTAGCATGTTTATGTGCAGCTTGCTGTCTTGCTGGTTCCATAACCCTGATGCCGTCCGGTTGGCGAGATGAGCTCCCCAACCTTGGAGCGACGCGTCTACATAGAGATGGGTTTTGAATTCCGGCTCTGTTAAATAGATGCCTTCATGACATTCGACCTCCTGGTCCACCATAGTAGATGAGGTCTGATGTGCTTCGGTAGACTGAATGGTTGTAGGTCGTCGAGATGAAGCGTTGATGAGGACCTGTAACGGACATAACTGTAGTCTGCCTCTGACTGTCATGTCTTGGGCTGACGTGAGGAGACCCAACAGACTCTGCCATTGTCGTAGTGGTAGCGGAGAGAGTAAGGCTTGTGGGATGGTCTGTTGGATCTTGAGCCATCGGTCCTCTGGTACGACGATACAGTTCTGTGTCGTGATAAATCGAATGCCTAGAAATTGCAGATCTTGCGTAGGCTCTAGGTCCGACTTGAGTAGATTTACTAACCATCCTAGCTGTGTTAGTAGCTTGATGATGTAGTTTAACTGTAGTTTGAGATGCTGTGGATCTTGATCTACTTGAATCCCGTCGTCGAGGTAGAACGCACTGCGTAGCCCTAGACGATGTAGGTAAGTGACGATGGGTTTCGTTACTCTTGTGAATAACCAGGGGGCCGATGATATTCTAAATGGTAGTACTCTCCATTGATAATGCAGCCCGTCTAGCGTAAACCGTAGGTATTTCCTGGATTCAGGATGTATGGGGATATGTAGATACACATCCTGCAGGTCTATACTGGCCATGTAGTCCATGGGACGAATTAGGTGCCGAAGTTGAAGTAGATATATCATGCGAAACGTTGGCGGTTTGCGTAGATAATCTCTGTTGAACGTGCTCATGTTGTAGATGAGTCTGAACTTTTCCCTGGAGTTTTTCTTGGGCACTAGGAAAACTGGGGAGTAGAAGCCTGGTTCGATGTTTACTTGATCCAGTACTTCTATGGCCTGCTTGGTTAGTAGCGATGCAACAGCTTCTCTTAACTTTAGTAGTTGTTGCGCCTGAAAGTCGAACTTGTGAGGGTTGACTGTAAGCGGAGCGTGGCCTGTAGTTGGATTCGATATCCGTGATGTAGGATGTTGGAGACATAAGGGTCTTGTAGAATTCCCCAGTTCTCCCAGTGCAGTTGAAGGCGTCCACCCACTTGTGATGGTTGTACTGGAACGGCTGGGGTGGAAGGCTCCAGTCGTTCTGAACCTGTCTTTCATCGTTTATAGTTGCGGGAACCTCTGGGTGCCCTGCCTCTTCCAGATCCTCCTCTGTAGTTGCCGTATGGGTGACGAAAAGAATCTTTTCCTCTTGAGGTGGCCATCTTCCTGTCCCGTGCTTTCTGTAAGCCAGTAAACTTAGATCTTCCTGAATATCTCTGTGATGTCTGCCTGATGACGCTGGCTAGCGTGTCCATCGACTTTATCATAAGGACTTCCCTTGAATCCTTGGTGACTTCTTTAGAGACTTTATCTATTCCTCCATCGAAGATAGATGGCGAAGACCACGGGGCTGTGTAGAGTGGAGATGTAAACTGTTCACCCCAACTACAGGAAGCGAGGAGACCTTGACGACGAGCCAGAGTTAGCGCTGCGGAGACTGATGTAAGATGATCCGTTAAGAACTGCTGGTCCTTCTTCTGCATAAGGAGGGCCGAGTAAATCATTCTGTCATCTTCTGATGTAGAATCACGAAATCTGGTGATGAGAGTTTCATTAATTGTTCTTGATCTGTTAATGCCGAAGAACATTCTCCTTGTCATGGTTTCGATCTGCACCAGCTTGCGGTCGTCTATCTTGTAGGTCTTATTCTTGGCATCATTGATTACTTTGAAGTTATCGTCGATATCTTGTGCCTTGAAAAATGGGTCCATATTATGGGTTGAGAAGGAGGTCGTCGTGGAGAACAGCCTGGTGAACTGCGTCGATATGGTGACCTTCGCGGAGATCTATGTGGTGAATGTTGATAGCTTCGCGAAGCTCTTGGGGAATCCCTCGATGACCTTGTAGACGAAGATGACTTGGAGCCTGTAATTGGAGCCCTTCGCGAAGCTTCATCTGAGTCCAGTCCTGGGGAGTGACGACTTGACCTTCGGCTTCGGCTGCGACGGCGGGATGTCTGGGGATGCAGGACGCTTCTTGGAGATGGCGGGCTGCGTCCCACGCCTCTCCTCCACGGGGAACTCTAGCGGAACACCAGACGGGAGGGGTTGTCTGACAGCAGTTGACTGGCTAGGCTCTGTTTATTGACTAGAAGCTCTGTTTACGTGACCTATCTGCTGCGCGTCTAAAGAAGCAAAGATAATATTTGTTAAATGCAGAGTTAGACAAATTATTACAGTAACTGCAACGTGAAGAAAATGCACATGGTGCAGTACAGCTAGGGCATATTAAATGCGGATCGGCAGCAGAAAAACGTAACCTACAAACAGTACAGATTTTCATCAACGCAAACTGCTGAACAATCACGGCGTCCCGTGAATAAACAGCAGAAATACGAATAAATATCAATACATAATTGTTGAAGGATACTAGCTAAACCTCTATAGATGACTACAAGAGGTAACTAACTAAGAATAATCAAAGGATAAAGTGTGTAGGGAGACACAGGCGCTCTCACATCCTGCTCACTGGGCGAAGAAGGAGAGAGTGAAGCATGAGGGAAGAGGTGGCGCCTCCTTTCCCGCGCATTTGGAAGAGGGAGGCAACTCTTGGTGAGTACTAATTAGTGATTTTACATTGAAGGGAGCTTCAATTAGGGAGATACAAGTGTTCCACTATGTTCGCAAGAAGAAGAAGACAAGCAAAAGAGCATGAGTCAGGATAAGGAAAAATAATTAATGTCAGTGTATAACATAACATTATTTAATCCCTGACACTGTGGATATGGCTTAATGTTCACATGAGCTTCGTGTGACATACATAAATAAAAGATGGGTCTTTTATGATCAATAACAATCATGTAACTTACGATTCACTCTCGAGTCTCTTTCTACGGCAGATGTTGATGGCTGTCTGTCTGACTAGTGTTCCCAGCGTGCGTCGACTCACCAACATTCCGTCCACCAGCTGGGATGGCCATTGACATTCTACAGAGTATGACATGATTTAGTGAGGGAAGGAAAGATTGTAGCAACTCAAACACTGACATGAGTGAGTGATAGAAGAGAAAACTGCAGCCAGCAATATTTCTTTCAAACTGAAAGAGCAAATCAAATCTTTGAAGGGCATTTAGAAGTGGACTACATAAGAAAAGCAACATTTATGGATGTCAACTTCTTTGTTGTGAATAACACGACGTTTCAGAGTGTATGCTTGCTCCTTCATCAGGTGAATGGTAGGGAGTATCAGGGGATATATATACATACATTGAGGCAGTACAAAGAAAATTAATGTTGTTTCAAAGCCACAAAAATCAGCAAAAGTTCAGTTATATCACAAGAAATATACCAGTTTATTTTTATGAACATCTTGGCATACAGGAGACCAGTCATGTCCCAGGATCACACAACACCATTCTTCTCTAGACCTCACAGACCAAACAGATAATCGAAAATTTAATAAATTGTACACAGGGGCAACCAGGGCAATACTCCCGTCTACAGTTGTCTGAAAGTCGCATAGCATGCTGCGCAAATAAAAGTGATACTGGTCCCAGCACACAATACATACCTCCCTCAATCGCACCTTGCAGAATTTTCATGAAAAAGTCCCAGAAATCTTAGAAGGAACCGATTAACGTGGACGATAGCATATATTTTTTCTACATTCTAACTGTCTTGATTTATGAACTGAGAATGTGATATTGCAACCACAGAAATACCTACCCATGTTTTATGAAAATACTGAAATACTGAAAAAATACATGAAATAATTTGAATCTAGATTTAGTGACTTAATTATGGAACTTAAAATAACAAATATAAACAGTATTTCCTTATGATATAACACCTAAATGTATGATTTGCCAATGGTTGTCAATGAGACATTGTTTAATACGCAGCTGTTGGTGGCGGTGGGGTTGGGGTGGTTGTAAAATCCTAAATATATCCGAGAATAAAATACAATAAAATAATGGCTACAGAAGTGTTGTAAAGAATGCATGGCAGGGAAATACGTGTATTAAATAATATTTCAAGAGAGTAGTTATTAAATGCATTATTCACAGTATATTAATTATTTAACCCTATTATGTTGATAAATATCTTTAATGCCTCATCATGTGTATATACCTATTCGATGACTACTTGTATATATTTAAATTGCATAATCAAATTTAGATTTATGGATGAGAAAGAAACTTGATTTTGCACGTTAACTTGTATCTACTTGTAGATTACTTTAATGATAAAACTTAGACAAAATCACTCCATGACCCGAAAAGAGATATTAGTATGTTGAGCTCTGCAATGGGCATGACAGACTGTAATGGCAACGGCATATGCCAAGGGAAACCACTCCCATCTTGCATATAAAGTAAAATTATCTGCTCTTGAGTTAATGAAAAGGTCACGGCCATTGTTAATCGCACGCGACACCATTCACTATTATCCTTTCCTTGATTATCAAGAAGGTATGTTGTTTCACACTCAATACATCAAGTTCCTTTTAGGACAATTCAACAATGTTCACTGTGAATACCCCATCAGTGACAATATGTACCTTGATGCCAGTTTCTTTATTACACACCCAGATAAAACTCTGTACCTCAGTCTGTACTATTGTGATATCATCATTCCTTACTTGGTGTGGCCCTTGTCCTGCAGCTGTAGATGGATGCGGAACAGGCCGTTCTGCAGTGCATGTATGAAGAGGATAAAGATGTCCTTCTCAGGCACCTTTTGTACAGAGGACGAGCTGGAGCTGCACTGGTGGTCCTGGCCTGTACTAGACACACTCAGCAGATCCCCTGAAACACACATTGCCCTGAACATAGAGGGGACGACAGTCCTGGCCTGTACTAGACACACTCAGCAGATCCCCTGAAACACACACTGCCCTGAACATAGAGGGGATGACACACGGACGACAGTCCTGGCCTGTACTAGACACATTTAGCAGATTCCCTGAAACACACACTGCCCTGAACATAGAGGGGACTACACACGGACAACAGTCCTGGCCTGTACTAGACACACTCAGCAGATCCCCTGAAACACACACTGCCCTGAACATAGAGGGGACCACACAGGGACGACAGTCCTAGCCTGTACTAGACACACTCAGCAGATCCCCTGAAACACACACTGCCCTGAACATAGAGGGACCACACACGAACATACCACACTGTCCTGAACGGATGACAGTCCTGGCCTGTACTAGACACACTCAGCAGATCCCCTGAAACACACATTGCCCTGAACATAGAGGGGACTACACACGGACGACAGTCCTGGCCTGTACTAGACACATTTAGCTGATCCCCTGAAACACACACTGTCCTGAACATAAAGGGGACGACAGTCCTGGCCTGTACTAGACACACTCAGCAGATCCCCTGAAACACACACTGCCCTGAACATAGAGGGGACTACACACGGACGACAGTCCTGGCCTGTACTAGACTCAATTAGCAGATCCCCTGAAACACACATTGCCCTGAACATAGAGGGGACCACACAGGGACGACAGTCCTGGCCTGTACTAGACTCAATTAGCAGATCCCCTGAAACACACATTGCCCTGAACATAGAGGGGACCACACACGGACGACATTCCTGTCCTGTACTAGACACACTCAGCAGATCCCCTGAAACACACACTGCCCTGAACATAGAGGGGACTACACACGGACGACAGTCCTGGCCTGTACTAGACACACTCAGCAGATCCCCTGAAACACACATTGCCCTGAACATAGAGGGGACCACACACGGATGACAGTCCTGGCCTGTACTAGACACACTCAGCAGATCCCCTGAAACACACACTGCCCTGAACATAGAGGGGACTACACACGGACGACAGTCCTGGCCTGTACTAGACACACTCAGCAGATCCCCTGAAACACACACTGCCCTGAACATAGAGGGGACTACACACGGACGACAGTCCTGGCCTGTACTAGACACACTCAGCAGATCCCCTGAAACACACATTGCCCTGAACATAGAGGGGACTACACACTGACGACAGGATATCTACACTACTTAGGGAGTCCAAACCGTGGAAGTTCTTTTCAATGCTCTGCTTTTAGGTCTGATCATACATCCTACACAGTGAGATGGTACATATTTTGCTAACCTGTCGGGAAGTTCTCATGGTCTTCAAAGTTCTCCAACCAAACAGCAAACACTTTAGTATCAGGACCAAACATAGAGGTGGGCTGTCTCCCGAGTCTACGTGTCCTTGCCTGGTTACCGCTAGCAACAGCTGCCTCAGGGGGCGACCCTGGGCTCTCACGATCCTGTCGTCCTGCCTTCTCTGCCTCCAGAACAAGTGACTTTGGCTTTGTCAGCTGGATGTGAGGCTCATTCATGGAGAAGCGGTCACTCGTTGGAGATTTATCTGAGAAAGGAAAAATAATAATGATCCTGTATTCACTAATGAGGCACTTATCTGGAGCAATTCGTCATGACTGATTGTTGTTTTTGATACTGGTTTTTTTTCCCTTGTGGGAACCGGATGCTATCTCCGAATTCTTGACTGGTTCGTAACTTCTATGTGACCCATAAGCAAATTTGGGCATATCCTCATATTGATGAACAAAGATGAAACACAGTCTTCTCTTGGAATTAATTGGGAAATGTAGTCGTCTGTGTGAGGCCTTAATATTTCAACTATTTCAGGCTGCAAAATATGTCCATCTAGTTTATTATGAAAACAAGTCCAAACATTCTGAAGTTTAATTTCATCTCCCAGTGACTAAAATGTTTGGACAAAAAGAAAATGGAAGGCAATGTATGTGTTTATAATTTTGGCTTATAACCCTAGCAAAATTAATTTTGGAAATTTTAAACATAAATTGTATATTTATATACTTATCCTGTCTCACAGTATGCACTTCTCTCTCGTGATTTGAGTGGAACGATGTAATTTTTTTTCCCTTGGCCTCTCTTGTCCATCCGCCCAAGCACTCCATGCTACCCTCATTATAAGACAGCTTCCTAGTTGTCATGCAAAGCATGCGGCATGCACCACTAGCTATCCAAGTGACTATCTCCAAATCATTCTCATTCTTGGAGCCACTGGAATATCAATCTCGGAGAATCTGCGTAGCGGCGAGGGTGGGGGCTCGAATCCGTCGCGTGAGATAGGATAAGTATATAAATATAAATTTATATTTAAAATTTTCAAATTTTTAAACTTATCCTATTTCACGGTATGCACTTATCCCACGGTAGGACGCAGATACCCTGTGCCTTGTGAGAGCGAACAGCAGGAACTGTGTAGACTGGAAACAACCGTAGATAGCGATGCACAAAGGAGGCCTGTCATGACTAGCGCAACTCCTATGCTTGTGACGAGTTCCTCTGAACTCCTTGGCTTACTAAGCACAACGTCTCCCAGGGAGATGGGTGCTCCCGAGCGATGTGGTGTTCAGCCGCAACCTCTGAAGAAGGACGCAGCTCAGCGAGAAAGGATGTCACTTCGCCACGATTTTCAAGGTACCCCCGTAAATTAAATTCACCGACAATAATCGGGCCAGCCCCTGCTTTCGAGAAGGCCCCCACAGACACCAACCAGGGGCGGGTGAAAGAGAAGCACAACTTGGAAAACTCCCAGTTTTAACGTTCAGTTCCAGTCAACATCAAATTGACCCTCACTCCTGTGCATAAGCTTAGTCAAAGGATGAGCCTGGCAACTTCGGAGTCGGAACGCAATGAAATCCACTGGAATTCGGGAGTGACACACTTCACTGAAGCAATAGCTTCGAAAAGTAGAGGTCAGGAAATGTAAAATGTTGAACCCTTCCACATCGTGACACAGAATCGAGCTCAAGATTCGTCCAGCCACCGAGGCATTAGTATCTCCGTGTCTTAGTATAAAACTAAGTGGAGTAGCAAACAAAACATAAGGCAGACATCAAGTTCAGACTTATATTCAGGAAAATACAGGGAAGCAGCAACCGCGAGGGACCATTCCCTAGAGGTGTTGGACATCCTTGACTGAGAGGTCCCGAAGGTAGTGCAAGGAGAAGACCGAGTCCGATTGCCAGAAGCATCCTTCCATAATGACGTGGAGAGAGCAGTTACGCTGCAGAGCCATCGTAGATGCTAACGCCCGTGTCTCATGTGGATTGGAAGCTGTCGGGGCGGGTAACCCAAAGAGGGTGTAAACCTGTAGGATGGTGGCTCTCATCCAGAAGGATAATGTGGTGCGAGACACTTCCGCCCTGGATGTTGAGGACAATGGAATGAAGAGGCGCTTGCGGAGACGGCGGCGATCTTTAGAAGCAACAACAAAAATCTTCAAAGCCCTAACAGGGCAAAGCTGCAGGTCTTCATTGTCATGCGGCCCAAGGATCGTGGACAACGGTGGGATGGTAAAAGTATGATCAAGTTGTCCCGGCAACTGATTCTTTGCTACGAAATCCCAACGGAGACCGAGGAAGGCTTTGCCATGCTTCTTCCGTTCGAACTGGACTCTGTTAACATCCAAAGCATGGAGTTCAGAAATCCGAGCAGCTGTAGCCAAGGCCACAAGGAAAGTGGTCTTGAAGGAGATCTTCTCAAAGTCCTTCTGAGCTAAGGCTTCATAGTCCGCCGAGGCCAAATGACGCAGCACCACAGATAAATCCCAAGCAGGAGGTCTAAACTTCTTAGACTGATCGGCCAACTTGAAGTACCAGAGCAAATACTGAAGCTCAGGAACCGTCGAGGCCTTAGAGCCTGTGGTGGTAGCCAGGACCGAGTTGATCGCAGCAAGGTAAGTGGCCAAAGTGGAACCCTTGAGCTACTTAGACGACCGCAAATGCTGAAGAAATTCAGTGACAATTTGAGGCGAAGTAGAAATGGGAGATGTAATGCCTCTGGACATGCAATATCTCTCAAAACATTTCCACTTCTCATCATAAAGTGAGCGGGAGGAAGTCCGATGAGCAGAAGTGATGGCCAAAGTAACTCTCCGACAAAACCTCTTGGCGATTAAGGACTTCTGCAAATGCGCCGAACGTGCAGAGACAGGGTGCGAAGGGATATGTGGTGCCGATCCGAGTGAGGGTGTAACAGAAGGTTGTCCCGATCGGGAAGAGGAACTGGGTTTAGGTCTGCCAGCTGTGCGAGATCGACAAACCAACTCCTGACTGGCCAGTAAGGCGCGACCAAAAGCAGTAGAATCTGTCTGGTCGCCCCGGAGTTTCTGGATGACTCTGGGTAGAAGGGCCGAAGGGGGGCAAGGCGTAAACATTGAGTCCCTCCCCCGAAATCGTCAAAGCGTCGAGATCCCACGCTAGTTGGTCTGGTATCAGCGAGACAAACTTCGGGAACTGATGGTTGAACCACGTGGCGAATAGGTCGACTTGGTGCCTTGGTAATGGGAAGACCAGTTCCCGAAAGGTCTGTGGGTTTAATTGCCACTCCGTGGGAGCGGAGCAGGATCGGAGCAGGACAGCGCATCTGCGATGACATTCCTGACTCCGGGAATGTGTCTGGTTCGAGCATCGATGGCGAGGGAGTCGATTAGATGGAAGAACCGAAGCGCCAGCTGAAGAAGGTTTGCCGAACCTGTCAACCCGAGATGGTTGATGTACCAGACGACCTTGGAGTTGTCTGTCTGAATCAGCAGGGAAGACCCCCGAAGTTCCATCGCCCAATGTCTAATAGCGAGAAGAACCGCCAAGAACTTGAGTTAACTTGAGAACTTGACATAATCACTCTTACCGGGAATGGCACCGTTCATCGTCACTGGCGAATAAAGGCTGAGGTTGTTATCCGCTGTGTAGGACCAAGAGAATTCTGTCAGTGCACTTCATAGTCACTCCCAACATCACAATTCTCCGGTAAACAAACAGTAGTCTGCCATTGCAATTGTTACCCACAATGCAACAGTGACCATAATCCGGACAATACGGTCTTCGGTCACAGCCCATAAAAACGGTAATGGGATGTTCGCTACTTCACAAGACATCACTGCTGGTACCATGCGCAGAAACTTGTTCCATCTGTCCAAAAGCTTGCTGGTGATGTAAAAGGAAGGTTTTGAAGATGACAAACCAGGCCATGATAATGATTGTATCCCGAGATACACCATGACGCTGTTACGAGTTGTCTGTAGTAACAGGACTCAGTGAAGCGTCAAGCTTGTCTGGTAATGCACAAACGAGTGGTCGGAGAGCTGATATCTTCGATGGAGGGTGGATTCCTAAACCAAGGTGAAAGCTGTTTCGTAGAGAACTGGTCTAATTCTGGGGAAGGTGGACAGTCCGGCGAAAGTTGAGGTGGAGGGGAGCGGACAGGCGAAGAGTGATCCGACGAACTGTGATTCGATCTGGCAGGCTTCGACGAAGCAGAAGACCGAGGTAGCTGGACGCAAGAAACAACACTTCTGTTCGCCGAATGGGAAGGAGACGGCGAAGTAACCACTGACAGACGTTGAGGCGAGGTACAAGGACGAACGACGAGAGCGAGAACGGCTTCAGCGCATGCGCTCTGCGCAGTCAGGTGTAGAGATCAGCTGATTCTTGTCCGAAACAGATAAGACAGGTTGCCTAGATAACTGGTCCGGAGAACGAGAGACAGAGAACGAAGTTCGAAGGTCCCACTCTGTAGAGGTCTCCTGAGGGGTGGTAGCAGTCTCGACAACCACTACCAGGGACGTGGTCGAAGACGAAGGACTCGGGCTGGAATGTTGAGAGCCCAACAAATGCCGAACATCTTCCGATAAGTAAGAATCTGATGACGCTCTCATGAAATCCTCTTCATTCGAGGGAGGGGACTGTGACCGCTGAGCAGACAAAGTAGAACGCTTAAACTTTCCTTTCTTGGAGGGACTGGGTCCATCAAGTGAAGCGGCATAACGAGACCTGTCAGCAACACGACAAGTGCAAGCCCGAGTGTAGTCACCAAACGCCTCGAAGGTAAGATCCTTGCATTTACACTGTCCCAATACAGTCAACACAATACCCATGTGGATCACTCGCGGAGAACACTTTATTACACCAGGAGCATTTCTTCCTCTTTTTTGGCTGGTCAACTTCCCAATGTTGTAGACTAAGTTGAAAACATTGAGCAAAGCAAAACACGTTCACACTCGTGTGCGACAAGAATGAGAATGATGATTCGGAGATAGTCACGTGGTTAGCTAGTGGTGCATGCCGCATGCTTTGCATGACAACTAGGAAGCTGTCTTATAGTGAGGGTAGCATGGAGTGATTGGGCGGATGGACAAGAGAGGCCAAGGGAAAAAAGTTTACATCGTTTCACTCAGTGTCGAATCAAGAGAGAGAAGTGCATACTGTGAGATAGGATAAGTTTAAAAATTAATGTTTTGTTTCTATGCACTTTGGAACTTCATAAAAGTATTTAGTCAATCTCTTGTTTGGGGTGAGGTGAGGTGAAATTGGGTTTTACGTCATGCTTGAGAATATTTCGCTCATATGACGACGTGCATGCGTGTGTATGTGTAGGTGCGGCTGCTTGTACTAGCCCAGACTGAAGCTGGTTTTATAGTGCTAGCTCACTGAGATACCATGCCGCAGTGAAGCATGAATACCCCACTCAGACACATTAAACTGACTCCGAGCCGACCAGTCCTTGATGCAGTACCCATTAATGCCGAACGCCAGGCAGGGACCAACAAGTACCATATTTAACGTCTTTTGGTATGACGCGGTCGGGGAACGAACCCGCCACCTTCCGCTCTCCGGGCGGACGCTCTAACCACTACACCACGGAGGCGGTCCTCTTGTTTGGTACCGAGTTTGTAAAATGACTGTAATATCTAGACATTTTATAAATTGTCTCAGTGAATCTTACATTTAGAGCTAAATTTTGAGAAAAGTCAAATGGGAACCTCTGTCAGGAAATCTGAATGGTATTACCGCTAATTATACCTGTCATAATGTCATCAACTTCACATCAAGTGCATGATGACAAATATACAGGTATAGGTTTATACTTCCAAACATGGATGACAACAAGGCAGTAGTAATCATTGTAATTTATGCAATAAAGTTGCCTAAAAATACTAACGGGTTGTCGCTGTCTTGAGGACACAAACTGAACTTTATCATGGAATGACTAATACAGACAAGCATTTGCTGTGTACTTAAGCTAATAACTGTATATTTAGTTACATGGCTTCTTAAATTATAGCAATGGCAAATGGGGTTGATTAAGGATATGGCTTCAAATAAATCAAATTTGTATTTTACATATTATAAGTCAATTGACATGACATTATTACAAGACATTGAGTGTCATTGTATGATGACCATGTGGATGATTGCTCAAAATATTAATCAATGCATTTTCTGCTCCAGAGTATTTTCATTCTGCCTTCATGTAGTGGGACAATTACAGCTTTAGCAGCAAGTATGGTGCAGTAACTACCAGCTTTAAACCATTGTGTAACAGAGTTCCACAGTTGCTCAGCTTCAAATGGTTGTGATCTCTTACATGCACGGTTTGTGAGCCGAAGCAGTAGTACAGGAAATTCATGAATACTCTGCTGACCAGGTGACAAACACCTAATTCACTAGTATGTCTGGAACACTGGTTCATACAGCGACAACCTGAAGCTTCTGCCAATGCACAACAACCTTAACACTGAGAATGAATGCTTAGAATGGAAGAAACCTTGATTTCTCAACACTCAGTTTATACAAGCCAGACTATTGAACTGAAGCTATAAACACCATGTCTAGTTTACCTCCATCCAAGACCGACATACCTGCATCACTGACCACACTGACTGTCCTCAGCTTGAACGTCTCGGGGGATGGCACAACGAAGGCCATTTCTGATGACACGTCAGCCCAGTACAGCACCTGCTGCCTCCCATCGTACACGCTGCCGCCGGTACCGGTCTGGTAGTCATCATCTAAAACAGGAAATGTCAGTGAGTGGATTTTGTTTTTCACCAATCAGGACCAAACCATCCACATCATGTCATCCTGAAAATGTTTGAGTCTGTACCAGGCAAACCAGAGATCGATAGCATAAGCAGCAAACAAAGCCATCGATGAACAATGACACGATGGTCATTAACAACCACATTAGTTAATGCACTGGGAAGAAATGAACACTTGCAGCACTAGTACATGACATCTAAGAATATGTTACAATAAAACTATTACCATAAAATTATGTAATTTTCTGAGTAAAATTGATATTTTATACTTATCCTTACTCATGCTTCTTTGCTTGTCTTCTTCTTCTTTACGAACACAGTGGAACACTTGTATCTCCCAATTGAAGTTCCCTTCAATGTAAAATCACTAATTAGTACTCACCACGAGTTATCTTTCCCCTTGCAAGCGCGGGAACGAGGGCGCCACCTCCCACCATGTGCCTCACTCTCTCCTTTTATAGCGAGCCCAACACTTGAATTTACAGGGAAATCCAAAGTGTTATGTGGGGAGGACGGGAGGGCTTACCTCATGAGTCAGGATAAGTATAAAATATCAATTTTACTCAGAAAATTACATATTTTTCCTTATCCTGACTCATGCTTATTTGCTTGTAGAATCCGACGGCTATGGAGGTGGGAATATATAATACTTTGGATTTGGATAATTAGTGATTTGAATTGTAATGACTGTAATAACCCTATGGGAACTTCATAAAGGCACTGAACTGATGAATTCCTGCTGCTAACTTATCAGCTGCCATATATGGGTTATTACAATATAACTATTACAATATACTTATTATATACAACATTAGTACAAAGCTTAAGACTAGTAGACTTAAGTTGTTAATGTGATAGCATAAACTCCTTGAGTTTATAGTTAATATACTTTTATGAAGTAACCAAAGTACTAAGCTTAAGATATGCATAAACTTAAGCTATATGAGTATAGTACTGTGCTTAAGATATAATTTAACTTAAGCTATATAATAGCAAAAGCTCCGTAGAGTTTGTTAGCTAATATGTATATAAAATGTGACCATATTACTGAGCTTAAGATATGATGAAACTTAAGCTAAATATAATAGCAAAACTTCTAGAGTTGTTAGCTAATATATTGTATGATATAATAACCATAGTACTGAGATTAAGATAATAGATTGAACTTAAGCAAAATATATATATAGCATGTAGCTATTTAGTACTGATATCAGATAAGAATAAATCTGTAAGATTGACTTATCTTCTCCGAGGAACTGTCAACTGTTGAGCGAGGACCATGGGACCGAAATGGTGGATACCTGAGACGTCGTTGGTGGTAATATCTCTCAGATAGTGGTTGGCAAACACCATATCGGATCTCCAGAAACAACCCTCCATTATAGTATTCAAAGAGCAGTTGCCGTGTAGAGCAAGTGTTGATGCTAGCGCTCTAATTTCATGAGGATTAGATGCTCTTGAAGGGTCGAGTCCTGCAGCCTTGTAGGCACGTAGTATGACAGTTCTGATCCAAATTGAGATAGTAGTACGTGAGACTTCCGTCTGCGTAGCTGTAGATAGAGGGATAAATAATCTCTTGAATTTTCCTCTCCTCTGTTTGGATCGGTGGAGATATATTTTCAGTGCTCTTACTGGGCATAGTGATAGATCCATCGTATCATGAGGTCCAAGAATGGATGAGAGAGCTGGGACGTGGAATTATCTGTCTGGTTGACCTGGCAATTGGTTCTTAGCTATAAAATCCCAGCGTAGTCCCAGATGTACGATGTTATGAATATCATCAAAGCGTGTTCTCTCGTAATCCAAAGCGTGAATCTCCGACATCCTGGCAGCCGTAGCTAGCGCTAACAGGAACAAAGTTTTCTGGGTCAGTGATTCAAACGATGTAAATTCTAACGGTTCATAAGCCTCACTTGTGAGGTGTTGGAGCACTATATTTAGATCCCAAGCTGGAGCGTGAAACTTCCGCTTGTGATCCTCCAATCGGAATGCTCGTAGCAAAGCGAGTAACTCTGGGGTCTTTGTTAACTTGACGCCCGTTCTCATAGTTATGACAGAGCTTAATGCTGCAAGATAAGTGGACAAAGTTGAGCCTTTTAGATTCTTAGTTTGTCGTAGATAACATAAGTAGTCCGCCACTTGAGGATGAGTAGCATATCTGGCTGTAAATCCTTTCTTTGCAGCATAATTGACAAAACTGTGCCATTTGTCATCGTATAAGTTGCGAGTTGAGTTACGCAGTGCAAGCGTGACTGCTTTTGCCGCTCTGGCTGAATAACCTCTCTTATTCAGACATGCCTTGATACAATCCATACGTGAAGTTGGAATACTTCTGGTTTTCCGTGCACTTGTTTGGTGTGCGGATGTATCAATAGATTCGAGCATTCTGGAAGTTGTAGAATTGGTTGTCCGATTTCTTGAATAAGATTTGGAAACCACGTTCTCGCTGGCCAGTAGGGCGCGACCAAAATCAGATGGAGGCTCTGCGTTTGACTGATTTTCCGTAAGACTTGTGGGATTAACGCTGGTGGCCGTAAAGCGTACGCGTTGAGTCCCTCCCACGATATGCTTAGTGCGTCCGTTGCCCATGCTAGTGGGTCTGGAACTGGCTATACGAAGGTTGTCAGTTGTTTGTTGAATCGAGTGGCGAATAGGTCTACTAGTGGAGATCCTATTTCCATGATTATTTGAGTGAATATCTCTGTGTGGAGCATCCATTCTGTCGGCGACGGTAGGTGTGGCCGAGAGAGAGCGTCTGCTAATACTCCGGGACTACTATACGATTCTGGGCTGTTAGAAATCGTATACCTAGAAAATGCAGATCTTGCGTTGGTTCTAGGTCCGACTTGAGTAGATTTACTAACCATCCTAGTTGTGTTAGTAACTTGATTATAAAGTTCAGCTGTAGTCTGAGACACTGTGGATCTGGATCCACTTGTATCCCTTCGTCTAGGTAAAATGCGCTGCAAAGACCTTGACGATGTAGGTATGCAACAATAGGCTTCATCACTCTTGTGAATACCCAAGGGGCCGATGAGATTCCGAAGGGAAGTACTTTCCATTGGTAGTGTTTCCCGTCTAGGATAAATCTTAGATATTTCCTTGAATTGGGATGAATCGGAATGTGTAGATATGCATCTTGCAAATCTATGCTGGCCATGTAATCTTTGGGACGAATTAAGTGCCGAAGTTGTGGTAAGTGTATCATGCGAAATGCTGGCGGTTTGCTTAGATAGTCTTTGTTGAAGATGCTCATGTTGTATATGAGACGAAACTTTTCCTTGGAATTTTTCTTGGGCACTAGGAAAACTGGGGAGTAGAAACCTGGTACGATGTTTCGCTGATCCAGAACTTCTAAGGCCTGTTTGCTTAGCAGAGTAGCTACTGTTTCTCTTAACATAGGTAGTTGTGCCGGTTGAAAGTCGAACCTTGGAGGGATGACTGTTAACGGAGGTGTGGCCTTGAGTTGTATTTGATATCCATGCTGTAGGATGTTGGATACATAAGGATCTTGTAGTAGTCCCCAGTTTTCCCAGTGCAGCTGAAGGCGTCCACCCACTTGAGAAGGTTGTACTGGAACGGCTGGGGGTGGAAGACTCCAGTCGTTCCGAACCTGAATTTCATCGTCTAAATCCGCGGGAACCTCTAGGATGATCTGCCTCTTGCTGATCCTCCTCTGAAATTGCTGTATGGGCGACGAAAAGATTCCCTGGGACCTTTTGCTGTAGCCAATTTCTTGTCCCGTTCTTTCTGTAGTCCAGAGAATTTAGACTTGCCAGAGTATCTCAAGGATGATTGTTTAATGACGTTCGCTAAGGTATCCATGGACTTGATCATAAGTACCTCTCTCGAGTCCTAAGACACCTCTTTGGAGACCTTGTCTATGTTACCACCAAATAGTAAGGGTGATGACCATGGGGCAGCGTAGAGTGATTCCGTAAATTGATTATCCCAATTGCAGGAGGCTAGTAGACCCTGACGACGAGCCATGGTAGTAGCTTCAGTAAGCGCTGACAAGTGATCTGTAAGGAACTGATGGTCTCTTTTCTGCATGAGTAGAGCCGAGTAGATCATTCTATCTTCCTCCTCTGTAGAATCTTTGAACTTGGTGATGAGAGTTTCATTGACAGTTCTAGATCTATTCAATCCAAAAAACATTCTCCTAGAAATGGTATCCAACTGGGCTAATTTTATGCATCGTCTATTCTGTAATTTCTTGACTTGGCATCACTGATTAACTTAAAGTTGTCATCAATCTCTTGGGCCTTGAAAAAGGAGTCCATATTGTGACCTGCAAATTTCTTGGCGTTGAAAACCGGGAAATGTGTTGATTGAAATTTCGTAGATTTGGTAAAGGCTGTATCCAGATTAGCTGGAACCGCTGCTATCGGGTCAATAGGAGGTAAGGTGATAGTGTCCGCATCATCTTCCTTCATCAAATAAGTATGAGCTGAGTTCTCGTTCTTAGACGGGGAAGCAAGTTCTAATCCATTCACCATCCAGTATCTAATTTCTGCATCTGAGAATACGATACCTTCTTCCTCTTCTGACGTAGGATCACAAATAATAGAGTGAGGTGGAGTCCTAGATCTGTAAGAAGATCGACGAGAAGATTGTGGTGAACGGACTGACGAGTGGCTAGTATAGGGAGACCTTGGAGGAGACTTCCTCGGCGAACGCTGGTGGCTTTGTGAAGCTCTCGATGAATCCCTTCTAGATCTTGTGGGTGAAGATGACTTGGAGCCACTTAACCTTCGTGAAGGTATCGAGTCAGAGTCCGAATCATTATATGGGAGCCTGCTTCGCGAACGACCTCTGTGTTCTACAGGGTGTGAGCTCGGTGAAGCACTCCTCCTCCCCGAAGCCCTTCGCAACTGGTGAGGCTCTGGATCCTTCGTGGAGGCGGCCTGGGACATTCTTCGCGAAGGCTTCGCTACAGGCTGGGTTGCCCTTCGTGGAGGCGCGTTTGTGGGCTCTAGGGACCTACGCGAAGTCAAGGCGGGCTCTGGGGCCCTGTATGACTTATTATGGGTTGGGCTCTGGGGCCCGCGGCTCTGAGGCCTCTGTAAACCGTATCGGTCTTCCATCAACATCATGATTTGGTTAACCAGGTCGTCTGGGACGGTCTGCGCTGATGTTGAGGGTGTCCTCTCTGTGATAGTGACGGGACCCTCAGTTATAATCTCAGGCGTCAGCGTAGGCATCTCTGGTTGCGTGTTGATCTGTGCTGAAGTGACGGTAGCCGATACTGGTCGCTTCTTATGACGTACATCTGGAATGATAATCAGAATGTCATCATCATATAAACACAATTCTGAAACAGGTAGAATGTCAGAAGCAAAGTTTTTAGTAGCCTTCGTGGATTTCCCTTTTGACGAAGCTGTAGACCTGGGGGTTCGGAGCGTACATTGAGACGACGTGGAAGCTCTTCTAGTCTTAGACTGTGATGATGGAACGTCCTGGGATGCAGGTCTTCTTGATATAGCGGATCATGGCCCCACGCTTATCCCCGAAGGTAACTCAGGTGGAACACCAGACGGTAGAGGGTCAGTCCGCCAACAGTTGACAGGGTATATCTGACTCTGATCTATTAGCCATGACTGAAGATTGTTTCCGAGATCTATCTGCCACTCGGCCTCAAGACGGAATATAAATATTTATCAAAGGCAGAATTAGACAAATTAATACATAATTTGCAGCGTGAAACAATAGAGCATGGAGTTATGCAACTAGGGCATATTAAATGCGGATCGGTAGCAGAGTAACGTAATTTACATACAGTGCAGATTTTCATTAACGCAAACTGCTGAGCAAACACGGCGAACCGTGAATAAAGCAGCAGAAACACGAATAATTATCAATGCATGTTGAATAAGGATACTAGTTACACCTCTATAGATGAATATAAGAGGTACCAAACTAAATATAAATAAAGGATATAGTGTGTAGGGAGACACAGGCGCTCTCACGTCCAGCTCACTGGGCGAAGAAGGAAAGAGTGAGGCACATGGTGGGAGGTGGCGCCCTCGTTCCCGCGCTTGCGAGGGGAAAGATAACTCGTGGTGAGTACTAATTAGTGATTTTACATTGAAGGGAACTTCAATTGGGAGATACAAGTGTTCCACTGTGTTCGCAAAGAAGAAGAAGACAAGCAAATAAGCATGAGTCAGGATAAGGAAAAATGTAAGCTTTATAAGCTTAGGACTGTGTATATTTGGGAGATATTTAACAAGATTAGAAAGTGTTTACATGGTGAAGGACATATCAGTTCTGTCATGGTTAGACAGCTGGATGTGACACATAGTGTTTTGCCTGGCTCACCATCAAAGTCTTCCGTCTCCATGATCCTCCAGCTGGTTGAGATGTGTCCCGTCCAGCCCGCATGTCGCCGGACATCCACTGGCCATCCCAGTGAGTGTAGGAACTCCAGGAACTGGGGCTGAACACGGGACTGAGTGGTCTGTAGGGGAAGGCTGAGATCAGTCTCACATCATATAACATCAAAGGCCGAACTTTCTGCTTCTATAGAGTGTTTTGTGATGGTGAATATCTTGTATTAGGAATATACACATAGTGAGCCTTCATGAGGGAGAGAGAGCAAAGTGATGCAGGTGATTCACCTCACTGGTGTGACCTACCACCATGGGTTCAGTGCACACATGACCACACACACTCTGGGATTCATGTCATAGGGGACCTGGGCCACTACATGCCACCTACTGCATATTCTGTAATACATGAAACAGAGGAACTCACCACATTGCTGAGTATTTCTTGTGGTGTCTTCTGTCCTGGCTTGGCATAGAAAATGTGCACAGTGTCGTTGTCTCTGCTGGGCACACCGTCCAGCGCCTCCAGGTCAGCATACAGACCACCAGACGAGTTGTCCAGCATGACCAGGGCTGGTGGGACACTGCTGTTGGAGGGTTCCTGGAGAGATACACAGTTAACTCACTAATAAAGCCTGTTCATGCATGTTGTCCACAATCATACTGGACGGCTAGGTTTCAAGGCGTGAGTGTGTGTAAATGACTGCCTGTTTTCCTACAGATTACATCAAACACCTCAAACGTGTCAACATACAATCAGCCAGGCCATGTCCACAACATTACACCATTCATGTAACAATACAGCAATATCAATGTCATCACATCATTAAATATGACAATATATGACTGTGACTGAGAATTTTAATGTAACCAGTGTGCGAAATAGTTTCCAAATTTTGCTAGCCAATGCGGGCTAGCTATGCCTGAAAGTTACTAGCCGCAACATTATTCACAAGCCCGAAATCTGAATGTTGCAACTAAGCAAAAGATTACAAAAATAGATGAGAATAAGATATTGTGGCATGACATGGGTTTCACCATTAAGCTGCTAATATGATGAACATTTTGTATCAGGCCATAATCTTGCATAAATTTAAAAGTGTATTATGACGTAACAAGTCGGAGAGAATGATATATTTACAAAATGAACCCATGAAAATTCACTAGCCAGTCAGGCCAGTGACTTGGGAGATTTACTGGCCCAACTGGATTTTTACTAGCCACGGGCTAGCGTGCCAGTGGCTATTTCAAACACTGAATGTGACCATGTATCACTATCAAAGTGACCATGTATCACTATCAAAGTGACCATGTATCACTATCAATGTGACCATGTATCACTATCAAAGTGACAGGTATCACTATCAAAGTGACCATGTATCACTATCAAAGTGACCATGTATCACTATCAAAGTGACCATGTATCACTATCAAAGTGACCATGTATCACTATCAAAGTGACCATGTATCACTATCAAAGTGACCATGTATCACTATCAAAGTGACCATGTATCACTATCAAAGTGACCATGTATCACTATCAAAGTGACCATGTATCACTATCAAAGTGACCATGTGATCACTATCAAAGTGACCATGTATCACTATCAAAGTGACCATGTATCACTATCAAAGTGACCATGTATCACTATCAAAGTGACCATGTATCACTATCAAAGTGACCATGTATCACTATCAAAGTGACCATGTATCACTATCAAAGTGACCATGTATCATCACTATCAAAGTGACCATGTATCACTATCAAAGTGACCATGTATCACTATCAAAGTGACCATGTATCACTATCAAAGTGACCATGTATCACTATCAAAGTGACCATGTATCACTATCAAAGTGACCATGTATCACTATCAAAGTGACCATGTATCACTATCAAAGTGACCATGTGACCATCAAAGTGACCATGTATCACTATCAAAGTGACCATGTATCACTATCAAAGTGACCATGTATCATCAAAGTGACCATGCATCACTATCAAAGTGACCATGTATCACTATCAAAGTGACCATGTATCACTATCAAAGTGACCATGTATCACTATCAAAGTGACCATGTATCATGTATCACTATCAAAGTGACCATGTATCACTATCAAAGTGACCATGTATCACTATCAAAGTGACCATGTATCACTATCAATGTGACCATGTATCACTATCAAAGTGACCATGTATCACTATCAAAGTGACCATGTATCACTATCAAAGTGATCATGTATCACTATCAAAGTGACCATGTATCACTATCAAAGTGACCATGTATCACTATCAAAGTGACCATGTATCACTATCAAAGTGACCATGTATCACTATCAAAGTGACCATGTATCACTATCAAAGTGACCATGTATCACTATCAAAGTGACCATGTATCACTATCAAAGTGACCATGTATCACTATCAAAGTGACCATGTATCACTATCAAAGTGACCATGTATCACTATCAAAGTGACCATGTATCACTATCAAAGTGACCATGTATCACTATCAAAGTGATCATGTATCACTATCAAAGTGACCATGTATCACTATCAATGTGATCATGTATCACTATCAAAGTGACCATGTATCACTATCAAAGTGACCATGTATCACCATCAAAGTGACCATGCATCACTATCAAAAGTGACCATGTATCACTATCAAAGTGACCATGTATCACTATCAAAGTGACCATGTATCACTATCATGACCATGTAAGTGACCATGTATCACTATCAAAGTGACCATGTATCACTATCAAAGTGACCATGTATCACTATCAAAGTGACCATGTATCACTATCAAAGTGACCATGTATCACTATCAAAGTGACCATGTATCACTATCAAAGTGACCATGTATCACTATCAAAGTGACCATGTATCACTATCAAAGTGACCATGTATCACTATCAAAGTGACCATGTATCACTATCAAAGTGACCATGTATCACTATCAAAGTGACCATGTATCACTATCAAAGTGACCATGTATCACTATCAAAGTGACCATGTATCACTATCAAAGTGACCATGTATCACTATCAAAGTGACCATGTATCACTATCAAAGTGACCATGTATCACTATCAAAGTGACCATGTATCACTATCAAAGTGACCATGTATCACTATCAAAGTGACCATGTATCACTATCAAAGTGACCATGTATCACTATCAAAGTGACCATGTATCACTATCAAAGTGACCATGTATCACTATCAAAGTGACCATGTATCACTATCAAAGTGACCATGTATCACTATCAAAGTGACCATGTATCACTATCAATGTGACCATGTATCACTATCAAAGTGACCATGTATCACTATCAAAGTGACCATGTATCACTATCAAAGTGACCATGTATCACTATCAAAGTGACCATGTATCACTATCAAAGTGACCATGTATCACTATCAAAGTGACCATGTATCACTATCAAAGTGACCATGTATCACTATCAAAGTGACCATGTATCACTATCAAAGTGACCATGTATCACTATCAAAGTGACCATGTATCACTATCAAAGTGACCATGTATCACTATCAAAGTGACCATGTATCACTATCAAAGTGACCATGTATCACTATCAAAGTGACCATGTATCACTATCAAAGTGACCATGTATCACCATCAAAGTGACCATGTATCACTATCAAAGTGACCATGTATCACTATCAAAGTGACCATGCATCATATCAAAGTGACCATGTATCACTATCAAAGTGACCATGCATCACTATCAAAGTGACCATGTATCACCATCAAAGTGACCATGTATCACTATCAAAGTGACCATGTATCACTATCAAAGTGACCATGTATCACTATGTATCACTATCAAAGTGACCATGTATCATCACTATCACTATCAAAGTGACCATGTATCACTATCAAAGTGACCATGTATCACTATCAAAGTGACCATGTATCACTATCAAAGTGACCATGTATCACTATCAAAGTGACCATGTATCACTATCAAAGTGACCATGTATCACTATCAAAGTGACCATGTATCACTATCAAAGTGACCATGTATCACTATCAAAGTGACCATGTATCACTATCAAAGTGACCATGTATCACTATCAAAGTGACCATGCATCACTATCAAAGTGACCATGTATCACTATCAAAGTGACCATGTATCACTATCAAAGTGACCATGTATCACTATCAAAGTGACCATGTATCACTATCAAAGTGACCATGTATCACTATCAAAGTGACCATGTATCACTATCAAAGTGATCATGTATCACTATCAAAGTGACCATGTATCACTATCAAAGTGACCATGTATCACTATCAAAGTGACCATGTATCACTATCAAAGTGACCATGTATCACTATCAAAGTGACCATGTATCACTATCAAAGTGACCATGTATCACTATCAAAGTGACCATGTATCACTATCAATGTGATCATGTATCATCATGTATCACTAAGTGACCATGTATCACTATCAAAGTGACCATGTATCACTATCAAAGTGACCATGTATCACTATCAATGTGACCATGTATCATTATCAAAGTGACCATGTATCACTATCAAAGTGACCATGTATCACTATCAAAGTGACCATGTATCAATTATCAAAGTGACCATGTATCAAAGTGACCATGTATCACTATCAAAGTGACCATGTATCACTATCAAAGTGACCATGTATCACTATCAAAGTGACCATGTATCACTATCAAAGTGACCATGTATCACCATCAAAGTGATCATATCAAAGTGATCATGTATCACTATCAAAGTGACCATGTATCACTATCAAAGTGACCATGTATCACTATCAAAGTGACCATGTATCACTATCAAAGTGACCATGTATCACTATCAAAGTGACCATGTATCACTATCAAAGTGACCATGTATCACTATCAAAGTGACCATGTATCACTATCAAAGTGACCATGTATCACTATCAAAGTGACCATGTATCACTATCAAAGTGACCATGTATCACTATCAAAGTGACCATGTATCACTATCAAAGTGACCATGTATCACTATCAAAGTGACCATGTATCACTATCAAAGTGACCATGTGACCATGTATCATTATCAAAGTGACCATGTATAACTATCAAAGTGACCATGCATCACTATCAAAGTGACCATGCATCACTATCAAAGTGACCATGTGACATCATCAAAGTGACCATGTGACACTGAATGTGATATGCAACACTGAATGTGATCACATGACACAATGAAAGTGACCATGTGACACTTTGAAAGTGGCCATTTGATACCATAAATGTGACCATGTCAGACTGAATGTGACCATTTGACTCTATAAATGGGACTTTTTGACACTATGAATGTGACCGTATAAAACTATGAATGTGACCCTGTAAATGTGACATGTGACTCTTCAAATGTTAGAGTGTGCCAATGTCCACGCCTACCTTGAGAGCCTCTAGGGACAGGAAGCCGTAGTGGGAAAGGAAGAGGCGTGCTGTCTGGTACTCATGGGTGACCCTGGAGACCGTAAACACAGACTCATTGCATGTAACATGTCTCTTCCCACGTCAACTCTGTGTTACCAAGCTGTTTCAAACAGGAAACTATACAACTGATAATATATGGGAACTGATGAAATGATAGAGAGAGTGTAACGACGATAAATATCTCTAAAATTATTTTCTGGTGAGTAGATCAGCATATGGTGTGTCCACCATGTTGAGCGATACAATCACGGCACCTTGATGGCATACTGTGGATTAACTTGCATATGATTAGCCACCATTCTGCCTGAAGAGTTACCCTACCTGGGTGCTGGGTCACTTGTGTACAGAGAACATCCAACAGATGCTCTATTGGGGACATATCATGGGACATACTTGTCCAGTCCAATGTCAGTATGCTGTCTGAATGTCTCTTGAATGGAATGATTGGTCACAAAACTTTGTCAACATATCCAAGGACTGTCAAAGGTCCATTTACATAAACCAGCTTAGTTTGCCAGTCATGTGTGATACTTCCCTCATTCCGTTCATGGTCAATCATTCACCTATAGGTGTTCCTATTTTTGTTCTATGTATGATGAGAAATGTTATTGTGATGCTATACCTCACTACTTTGAATGTACCGGAACACCTCAATGATAGCTACATTAGTTTCCATATTTTTGTTGGTACTATAGCAATAACATCATGATCTTGACTTGATAAATGTGCTCTACACACACAGTCACCCTCAAACTTGTGTATGCTAACATGATCATTAATCATAGCACTGAAGCCTCATACACAGCCTCATGAATAACATCCACACTGTGGTAATGTTAGTTCCACTGACAGGGATGGCTAATATAAATACAAAATACAACCTTGGGGGTTTGCATTCTGTCTGTGGATCTGGGAACAGAGTTTTCTCCCTTGCTTTTTTGGCCCGGTTGCTGACATCTGCCTCAAAAACAATCTGCTGTTCAATGAGCGCCTTCAGGTGATCTAGTTCCTCCTTGTTGCTATCGGTTACCAGAGATTCCATGGGGGGTATACTCTTATCCCTGGAGCCAACATAAAGGAATAATTCAAGTTTACAGGAGTGGATGATGGATTGAACGTGCAGTTAAGCTTGTGTATATGTGTATAAAATCATGAATTATTTCTATATATATAATATTCCTCAGTGTCAAAAGGCCCAATTCAATGCATGACTGATGTGTATACAAAATTTACTGAAAAATGTCTGAAACTGCATTTTATTTTGTAGGCACTTCCCCTTAGATGAAAAATGTGGGTTGAATGAATTGAAGAAACATTGAATGGTTTGTTATTTTTATGAACACTGCCCCCATTTAACCCAAGTCCATCTTGTTGCCATGAAAACATACTAAATGCAAAAATGACTTGAAAAGGTACAGTTCAGTACCTGCTTGACGAGATACAAAATTTGATGAAGAAATACTGAACAGTTCAGGGACTAAATTAAACATGACTGATGAATGTGCCAATTTCTATATCCACTTCAAAATGTGTTAATGCCAGGGATAATGAAATGCAAGATCATCTTTTGTGTATGAGCTTAGATTTTGTGTCCTATAATAGATAACAATGGCTATAATCCTATGATGATGACTTACGCCTGAGTGAGCGGTATTCTATCCACGCTCTCAGGGAAGTAGCGGTGCTGAACATTGTGGTGGATGCCAACATCACCATCGGGGATAGGCCGGCCGGGATCAGCCAGGTGGGCTTGGGAAGAAATCTGGAGAACATGTGAAGTGTCAGTTGCTTTGTACACAGCAATAATTCCAGGACCAAGGTTAACAGGAGACAGAACCATGAAGTGATGAAATCTACACAGGAAACAGTTTACAACCTTACCAATAATCAGTGTTTGGAGAATTGAAACCCCTAACGGCAGAAGGTATAGTTTCGTAATGGGCGATGATGTGCCAGATGAACAATCTCCATGTTAAAACATGAACTACACATATACCAAGGACAAGGAGATGAAATAACCCAAATATGGACCAATACCTCTTAAAGATTATTATGAGGTGAGGTGAGGTGAAATTGGGTTTTACGTCGTGCTTGAGAATATTTCGCTCATATGACACGTGCATGCGTGTGTATGTGTATGTGCGGCTGCTTGTACTAGCCCAGACTGAAGCTGGTTTTATCGTGCTAGCCCACTGAGATACCATGCCGCAGTGAAGCATGAATACCCCACTCAGACACATTATACTGACTCCGAGCCGACCAGTCCTTGATGTACCCATTCATGCCGAGCGCCAGGCAGGGACCAACAAGTACCATATTTAAAGTCTTTTGGTATGACGCTGTCGGGGATCGAACCCGCGACCTTCTGCTCTCCGGGCGGACGCTCTAACCACTACACCACAGAGGCGGTCCAAGATTATTATGAAAACATGTCATTGGTAAGAGACAATGTTTGACCTGTCTTGTCAACTAACACATTTGTCTTATCTTGTGACCTTGAGAGTGAGTGAGTGAGTATGGTTTTATGCCTCTTTTAGCAATATTCCAGCAAAATCATAGTGGGGGGACAACACAAATGGGCTTCACAGTACACAAGAACCCATGTGGGGAATCGAACCAAGGACACAAGGACAGCAGACTGGAAACACCGGACCTGGCACAGAATGTCTGAAGTATTACTGATCACAGAGTTGAATGCTGCCTAATGGAGATGTACATCTTATCTAGCCACAAGTCAGTCATCACCTTCTGTGCCCTGGGTGAATGTCGCAGCTGCATCGTCCATGCATGGCGACCAAACGGTCCTCTGATTAAAGATGTCACCATAGGAAGGGGATCTGAGAAAATATCAAACCCATTATTTTCAACACCTGTCTCCTACAGAGGTAATACCCCAAGAACATGCTCATGCCAAACTTTTACCATCCAATATCAGTTCTAAGAATATCTGCATAAATAATTTTTCATATCTAACAAGTACAATGTATGAACAAATTTAATTACAAAAGACCCAATTAGTTGTAATTAGTTTGTAGTGTAACAACACCAATAACCTTTCAGATACAAAACCCAACGAAGACTGATGATGATGGAAATTTTGCAGAGTTATCTCCCCTTTAATGGAATCCAGTTCAGATAATCACCTTTCTGTACCTTCTACAGTACTTAGCAGCCGGGAAAGAAAACTGATGATGATCAAAATGTTGATGGGTTAGGTCCCCTTTAATATGCTCAGATTAAGAAAATCTATATGAACTTTTATACTGCCCTGAGGCTGCAGACTGACCATGATGGAAATATTAATGGGTTATCTTCTCTTTTGATAGATAATCTCTTTTACCTTCGACATTACCAAGAGGCTGCTCAAGCAGACCAATAATGATGGAGTTGTCAATGGCAAAGTATCTGAAAGGGGAGCCATGTTCAGGAAGAGCACTCCCCTTGGCGTACTTGAGCAGGGATCTCTCATCCAGCAGCGAGAAGAGGGACTCGGGACCACAAGGTGGAGGGAAAGCCCCCTAGACAGGCAGGACAGTGTGTGAGGTACAACAGCTGGTATAATGTCACACATACCGTAGATACACAGAGATTATTACACATGCATGTCATACTGAGTTTACAAAACAAATGTCAGAATTCAAGCATTTCCCCTGTAAAATGAGAAAAATGGCGTGTAAAATCAGAATGACTCACATGCAAGTGTAATGATTTCTTCATTATCCATTATTTTTCAGTCATCTTGAAATGAGCTGAGATCATGAAGAACGGGAAATGAAACCAGCAATCTTCAGCTATTATGTTATTTCTAGTGTGACATCATTCCGACCTCATAAAATGCAAACAAAGCCATGTGGACGCTGTCAATATTTGCACATGTGATTTTCATGAACTCTGTTATTTCTAACCCATGGTTAATGAATGTCCTTTCCCCAAATATCACAGGGCAATTTTCAATAAAGCTGTTTTACCACTAACACAATGCCTGTTTCATAACCTATATTTCAGAAACATTCTGGATAAAGCTTCTTGAACATGTGACTGAGCAACATGATATGATTTAACAAGCAGAGTTGTGTAATTATTAGCCAGATCGCTGAAATGATTGTAGCAAGCAGCCGTCTACTCACCACCTGGTCGATGATGCAGGTGAGCACTGCCTCTGCTGCATCCTTCACCCTCATGGATGCAGGCATCAACTGCTTATCTCCCTTGAATTTGGGTGGGTCACTGGCTCGGTTCTAAAGTGAACAACCAGACACTCTACATTTCCTTTAACAGACATCCTTTCATTTCTTCCATCCTACATCCTACGATTTCTATCATTTCAGCATGCAAACATTCTTAAGTAAACTAAAGTGAGAAATCTAAAATCACAGAAAATGCTTCAAGTATGAAGACTTAAATCAATTAAGATGCATCTTTTTCAAACTTAATGATAAATAAAAAATGTGCTGTACATAAATGGTAATTTGTTTATCCACACCGATATGATCACTACAGGTGATAACAAAACAAACATGACGTAACAAACACTCAAACAATAAACACCAAACATCACCTGGAACTCATGTTATTAGGCTAATCATGTTTTGACATGATTAAGCTGCATGAAATAGCCTGGAATGTCACCTAATAGTCTAGCAAATTCATCGTAAAAATAATATGTGGCCTAATCAAATCTATGCTAACTTCTAAAACCTACCACACTAAACTGTTTCTAGTGTCTATTGGTAACATCTAGCTCTATGTTAGGACATAAACCTACAATTTCAAAATTGGGGTAAATACACTCTGATGAGGATACTCTTGCACCAAGGTGTGGGTATTGGGCAAATAATTATCAGTCACTTCCACTGACTGATGAAGGGGAGTCTAGTGAGTAAAGTTATTGCTTATCAGCTCACCCATCCTCGATAATCTCCAGGGTATACGTTACGATAAATCTCCACTATACCCTGGATGCATCTACGGCTAGGCCTGATGATTTTATTACCTCCCTTGGCTGGCTTTTTATCTAATCAGGTGTCTACGCTTCGGAAGTTGAGCGTACCAATCACAACTCGCTTTTGCTTCTTAAACTATCTAACTGATTAAACTTGGCAACACAATTGATGCAGAGGTTCTCTGAAAGAGGTAGAAGGAGTTCTTGCATATGTTTTTTAAAGTTTCAGACCTGTCAATTTGTCTGCATGATTTCCCCCAAAATCTGAGTCGCACTGCGAACAAACCTTCACTGGCTGCGACCGCTATCTTTGTTCACACTGGCACACTCGATTGTAACGGCGGCTTAGCTGATTGGCTACTGTTAGAATGCGGAGCCAGCAAAGGGAGGTAATATAATTATCGGGCCGAGCCATAGATGCATCCAGGATTATCGTAGCGTATACCCTGGAGATTATCGAGGATGGAGCTCAGCTGGACAATGTGACACTGACACATCAAGACATCATGGGCAGAGATCAGGAAGACTCTGAACACCCAGCGTGTACATCAGGACACACAATTCTCATTTACTTTGTGACAGATGTATAAGTTGTACAATAAAATAGGTCATATATATGTTAATCTGGTATTTCCATGTCAAGGATCCGGAATCAAACCCACACACAGCGGCTCCTGACAGCAAAGGGACACAACCCTGCAATGTGCTGTGTCTTAGCATTGGCGGATCCAGAGGTGGGGTTCAGGGGGTTCGAATGGCAGCTCCAATGCTATGAGAAATTGTTAATGGGTATACAGCACACACAGAGTTACCTGGGATATCTGATTATATCTTAACAGTGTATGAATACAGAATGGATCATCAATTCAGCATTTTACAAGAGAGTATTGGGTTGCAAAAGGTGTTCTGGCTGCAAGCAGTACAAATATCAAACTGGTTGCAGGTTATAGAAATAGGACATCTGTTACTATATAAGTTCAGGATCCTTGATGCTCTGTTGAACATCTCTATGTGATGAAAATATGGAAGACATGGTTTTCAGGGTTTCATGCAATACATTATCACCACCAATCCAAAATCAGGCTGGAAAAATATAAATGAATGATTCATATGGAGAGAATCTTAGAACACTACACTTTTTTAAATTCCCAATATTAACTTAAGTGTTTTCTTACCACCCAAATATACTAAAAAGAATTAGTATGAAGGACAGAGGCTAGTCGTTTGCAACGTATATTTCAAACATATTCAATTTTTGTGATATTTTTGTCGGTATCTGAAAATATATTTGTACAAAAAATCAGTCCCAATTAAATGTCATATAACCAAATCCCCTTGCAATACTCCGGAGAATCCATTGCTCTACCCACATGTACATCCAACATTCAGTTGTGGTCGATGAACAGTCAGAGTATAACAACGTGTACAAACATCAGCCTGCACTGTCACCAGTAGCTGAGTGCAACAAGTAAACGTTGTGGGTCTCAAACCATATGGTAACACAGATCGGTAAGGGAGGCAGGCAACCACTCACTTCACATTCCCAAGCACAACCGGTGGTATAGCATCCATCTAACCAGTGTTTTACACAACCCTTGGTCACGAGCTACAGTCTGTCTGTTTATTCCTGACACTGACCTGACCACATTTCTGAAGAGATATTACAAACATTCGGAGTCACCCGGTAGCTGTAGAAGCACATTATTTACAGTTTTATTTCACCGAAAAGACCATACAGTACAGGAAAGAAAAGAAATATCAATAAAAATATGTCTTTGTAAGTTTGATTATCCTCCCTGGGCCAGATGTGACCGAATATTTGTGAACTACGGTAAGTAAAATTCCCTGAGGCAAGGAATACAAGCAGAATAGATCAAGTGGGCAGCCATCCTAAATTCTAGTGTGAAACATATCTTACTCCAATTTCACAGTAATATTTGCATTCATATGTGTTTTACTGATGAAGTAAAGACCAGGGATGTTTAAAATCTAATAACACTGGTTACAAGGATGTGGGGTACATTTTCTGACTAACAACACAGGTTTCATCTCTCATCATCACATGCTACTGACAAAGCATCCCGAGCACCACAATATGACTAGTCTAGATGTAGAGGACTACACAATGTCCACGTTCTACCTTAGTTGCAGGCAGAGACTTAGTATCCTTCTCAACCTTAACCTTAAGATATAGAGAATCTGCTGACTTGCTCTGAAAGTGAACCATTGAAAACACCAAACTAAAACAAAACTCAAATAAATTGTGCATGAATAAGATTTGACAAGAGTGTGGTTATACATGAAACAAGACCACTGAAGCACAATAGTCCAACTAAGCCAAACGGCTGTCAAAGCTATCATATGGTTACTATATTTACATATCTTAAGAAAGACTTGAAGGGCAAGGAAACTCCACATTGCAACGTTTGCAGATTTTAATACAGGGTACACTTATTGGCTTAATCACAAATACTTGACCAGAATTATACTGGAAAAAGGAAAATAGTGTAAAACCAATTATATAAAATGACAGGCAAATCATCCCTCAAAATGAAAAATAAATAAATCCATTCATAGTCTCTGACGTGCTGCAAAATAACAACAATCAGGCTGTCACCATCTACCAGCTGTCTTTTATTCCCAGTGTGGCTTTTTCTGTCAGCTAATCTGTTTTGATTAGGCTTTAAGCCACACCAAATAGGTTGTGATTTTCGCCTGGGACATTTTAGTACATTCTACATATTGTTATCTTACTCCATAATATTTTCTCTCAGACACCATAGATTTACACATTCACAATACTTGCAATATTGTTTTCAGTTTACTTGCCCTTTAAGGCCCGTTTGTCCAGGAGACATTTGTTTTAAGCAAGGCCCTGGTCCACAAAGCAGCCTTATCACTAAGAATGTCATCAGTCCTGCACTCTACCACAGGTTTATGATAGTCATAGCTGTATAGCTGCTTTCAAACACTGGACCATGAAAAGTAAACAATGTGAAAAAATAAGAACACAAAAATGAATTCTCATGGATGAAACAAGAAATATACTATAAATAAATCCAAGACGCCTTCATGCAGAATAAGTGCAGTGCTTCTTATGTATAACATAAAAGACCATGTCAATAAGTAGTTTAATCGCAGTTAATGCTGATAGTAACTGAATGCAGAAGTTAAAGCATGTTTTGTTAACTCACCTGGGACTTGGAGCCAGATATTCCCAGTTCCACAACTTCCAGGACATTGTGCAGACATTCCTTGTCATACAGCAGGCTACTGTGTTCCACAAGCCACAGCTGTAGACATTTAAATGCAGCAACTATCATCGAATGAAGATCTCTTGAGTGAGATGGAGCTGGTCTGCTACACTGGAAGACAATGAAATCGCAGATCCACTTGACTGTTCTCTTGCACATCATAGCATTTGGGGGCTTGATGCTGACCTTGGCCAACCCTGCAAGCAGCTCCATTGCTGCTAGCGCTGTGTTGAGTTCCGACTTCCAGGAGGCCATGAGTCGAGTGCAGACGAGAGAGGTTGCATGGCCGAAAAGTCCATATGCTGTGTCTGAAACAATGTGTTGCTGAGTTCAAGATGTTGATGGGAAAGGTCAGTTGTAACGTTTGTTTGAAGAAGTTTTCAGTTGTGTCCTACTGTATTACTACTCTTCCCAAAATGAGCAGATGTTTGATACTGACCTAGATCCCTGGGCTGAGAGTGGAGTCTGTGGTAGGAGGCATCGTGATAACTGGACTCCCCCGAAGATGTACTGGTGCTGGTCTGGCTCATGTCTGCACACACACACAGGCAATGCATTGATCACCATAAACATCTTTACCTTCTCAAATCCATACTGATCACAGAAAAAGAAGACTCAACTATTTAGAAACAGCAAAACAAAGAAAGAAGATGATGAAGAGACGGAAAATTAAGAACAAAGCAGGTTGAGGGGAAATCACATCATGACACAAATACTGCATTGGAATACAGGGAAGAATGAAATGATCAGTTGTTCTTTAAAGATATTTTTCATCATGTCTACATTTTCATAGTGTTTCAGAAGAGACTCCAAATGGAATGGATGTGGAAAAAAGCTTACCAGCCTGTATGTCTCCATCAGAGACATCTTGCTGTGGCTGCAGGGTGAGCTGCTCTGCCTCCTCGCATGTCGCCAGGTCCTGCACTACCAGCATCAGCCCACCTGCAACCAACACAGAAATCATTTATGGCAAATCAAAACATATAATGTGGCACGAAGCGCATTATTGTTTTTATTACATTCCTAATTTGATTAAAAAATGAAATTGCAAGTCACACAAGGATCTGCCAAGGAGTGGTAGTTAAGTCACCAATATGTTGGGTAGTATTATGCCGACAAATGTACTTACTTGTTAGATTTACCTTCAAAAATCACTGGCTTTTTCACAGAATTTATTCTCACAAACATATACTGAGGGAAACAAATAAGGGAACACCAGTTCAAAGCAGTGTTCCTTTGTTTATTCTCAAGTTTTCACCTACAGTGCAATACAAGGCTTGTGAAGAAACCTGGAAAAGAATAAAGGAACAATTGTGCTCTCATGTGTTCCCTTACTTGTTTCCCTCAGTATATATTTTGTTGAGTATGTTGTTTTCTTCTCGTGAGATAAGACAGTGATCTCCCCTTGTATTATAATTAAGTCCATGGAAGAAGCTGCTTTCAAAATTATACAAAACAAAGATTTGTATCTAAATTAGATGCTTGACCAATCAGTGACTGACCCAGTAGCATCTGAGTGTTGCCAGAGTCTGTCTCGTTGAACAGGGCCTTCTGCAGAAGGTCTATGATGCGAGTCTTGAGCGAGATGAAGGACAGGCAGTGGTCAGGACCTTCCGGGCTTGACAAGATGTCTGTGAGAAACATGTGGGAGAGAGAGAGAGAGTGTGAGTGAGTGATGATTTATCTGAGTCTGTAATGGTGGCATCTCAAGTACCGTAATGATGGCTAGATATGATGACACACAATTCTCATGTCAGTACCTACAACTACCACAGAGACATAATCTGCCCTGGAATTTCATACATCACAAAAGGAAACGAGGAAGTGAGTGAAAGCGGTTTAATTTAGTCAGCAATAATCTATCTAAGAAACGATATCAGAAAGATGCTCATATCCACAAAGGTTTCTGATAGACACTCGATTACACTATAAGTAAAATCATCTTGACTTCCTAGCTTCATCTTGGTGTATTACAGACACACAATAGCTGACACTGCAAGACCAGCCAGAAGACATCCTTAATTAACGAAGCATGTGTCGATGGGAATGTTAGTATGATGTGGGACTGCCTGGGCAAGAAGACAACAATTGCGGTTACCAGTGGTGAGGTGAGATGCAGAGGACTGACCTTTGATCTCCAGGTCCTTGAAATGGAGAGGCAGACACAGCATGGACAGTAGCAGATGGACACATGCTTTCCTCAGTTCCACATACGGAATCTGCTCACACAGTCTGTAGCAGAAAAACAGAGTCATATAATTATATACACTTTCCATTTTGCATGTGCTGTAGCATTTGTAGTTTCAAACATGTCAATGTAGGCTAGTAGTTCCTGAAGGGAGGTTTGTCATCACTTGGAACAATGTTATCACAGCATGTCAGTGTAGGCTAGTAGTTCCTGAAGGGAGGTTTGTCATCACTTGGAACAATGTTATCACAGCATGTCAGTGTTGGCTAGTAGTTCCTGAAGGGAGGTTTGTCATCACTTGGAACAATGTTATCACAGCATGTCAATGTAGGCTAGTAGTTCCTGAAGGCAGGTTTGTCATCACTTGGAACAATGTTATCACAGCAGGTCAGTGTAGGCTAGTAGTTCCTGAAGGGAGGTTTGTCATCACTTGGAACAATGTTATCATCACTTGGAACAATGAAGGGAGGTTTGTCATCACAGCATGTCAGCGTAGGCTAGTAGTTCCTGAAGGGAGGTTTGTCATCACTTGGAACAATGTTATCACAGCAGGTCAGTGTAGGCTAGTAGTTCCTGAAGGGAGGTTTGTCATCACTTGGAACAATGTTATCACAGCATGTCAGTGTAGGCTAGTAGTTCCTGAAGGGAGGTTTGTCATCACTTGGAACAATGTTATCACAGCATGTCAGTGTAGGCTAGTAGTTCCTGAAGGGAGGTTTGTCATCACTTGGAACAATGTTATCAATCAGTTATCACTTGGAACAATGTTATCACAGCATGTCAGTGTAGGCTAGTAGTTCCTGAAGGGAGGTTTGTCATCACTTGGAACAATGTTATCACAGCATGTCAGTGTAGGCTAGTAGTTCCTGAAGGAGGTTTGTCATCACTTGGTCATCACTTTGGAACAATGTTATCACAGCATGTCAGTGTTGGCTAGTAGTTCCTGAAGGGAGGTTTGTCATCACTTGGAACAATGTTATCACAGCATGTCAATGTAGGCTAGTAGTTCCTGAAGGGAGGTTTGTCATCACTTGGAACAATGTTATCACAGCATGTCAGTGTAGGCTAGTAGTTCCTGAAGGGAGGTTTGTCATCACTTGGAACAATGTTATCACAGCATGTCAGTGTAGGCTAGTAGTTCCTGAAGGGAGGTTTGTCATCACTTGGAACAATGTTATCACAGCATGTCAGTGTAGGCTAGTAGTTCCTGAAGGGAGGTTTGTCATCACTTGGAACAATGTTATCACAGCATCACTTGGAACAATGTTATCACAGCATGTCAGTGTTGGCTAGTAGTTCCTGAAGGGAGGTTTGTCATCACTTGGAACAATGTTATCACAGCATGTCAATGTAGGCTAGTAGTTCCTGAAGGGAGGTTTGTCATCACTTGGAACAATGTTATCACAGCATGTCAGTGTAGGCTAGTAGTTCCTGAAGGGAGGTTTGTCATCACTTGGAACAATGTTATCACAGCATGTCAGTGTAGGCTAGTAGTTCCTGAAGGGAGGTTTGTCATCACTTGGAACAATGTTATCACAGCATGTCAGTGTAGGCTAGTAGTTCCTGAAGGAGGTTTGTCATCACTTGGTTTGTCATCACTTTGGAACAATGTTATCACAGCATGTCAGTGTTGGCTAGTAGTTCCTGAAGGGAGGTTTGTCATCACTTGGAACAATGTTATCACAGCATGTCAGTGTAGGCTAGTAGTTCCTGAAGGGAGGTTTGTCATCACTTGGAACAATGTTATCACAGCATGTCAGTGTAGGCTAGTAGTTCCTGAAGGGAGGTTTGTCATCACTTGGAACAATGTTATCACAGCATGTCAGTGTAGGCTAGTAGTTCCTGAAGGAGGTTTGTCATCACTTGGAACAATGTTATCACAGCATGTCAGTGTAGGCTAGTAGTTCCTGAAGGGAGGTTTGTCATCACTTGGAACAATGTTATCACAGCATGTCAGTGTAGGCTAGTAGTTCCTGAAGGGAGGTTTGTCATCACTTGGAACAATGTTATCACAGCATGTCAGTGTTATCACAGCTAGTAGTTCCTGAAGGGAGGTTTGTCATCACTTGGAACAATGTTATCACAGCATCACTTGGAACAATGTTATCATAGCATGTCAGTGTTGGCTAGTAGTTCCTGAAGGGAGGTTTGTCATCACTTGGAACAATGTTATCACAGCATGTCAATGTAGGCTAGTAGTTCCTGAAGGGAGGTTTGTCATCACTTGGAACAATGTTATCACAGCATGTCAGTGTAGGCTAGTAGTTCCTGAAGGGAGGTTTGTCATCACTTGGAACAATGTTATCACAGCATGTCAGTGTAGGCTAGTAGTAGTTCCTGAAGGAGGTTTGTCATCACACTTGGAACAATGTTATCACAGCATGTCAATGTAGGCTAGTAGTTCCTGAAGGGAGGTTTGTCATCACTTGGAACAATGTTATCACAGCATGTCAGTGTAGGCTAGTAGTTCCTGAAGGGAGGTTTGTCATCACTTGGAACAATGTTATCACAGCATGTCAATGTAGGCTAGTAGTTCCTGAAGGGAGGTTTGTCATCACTTGGAACAATGTTATCACAGCATGTCAGTGTAGGCTAGTAGTTCCTGAAGGGAGGTTTGTCATCACTTGGAACAATGTTATCACAGCATGTCAATGTAGGCTAGTAGTTCCTGAAGGGAGGTTTGTCATCACTTGGAACAATGTTATCACAGCATGTCAGTGTTGGCTAGTAGTTCCTGAAGGGAGGTTTGTCATCACTTGGAACAATGTTATCACAGCATGTCAATGTAGGCTAGTAGTTCCTGAAGGGAGGTTTGTCATCACTTGGAACAATGTTATCACAGCATGTCAGTGTAGGCTAGTAGTTCCTGAAGGGAGGTTTGTCATCACTTGGAACAATGTTATCACAGCATGTCAGTGTTGGCTAGTAGTTCCTGAAGGGAGGTTTGTCATCACTTGGAACAATGTTATCACAGCATCACTTGGAACAATGTTATCATAGCATGTCAGTGTTGGCTAGTAGTTCCTGAAGGGAGGTTTGTCATCACTTGGAACAATGTTATCACAGCATGTCAATGTAGGCTAGTAGTTCCTGAAGGCAGGTTTGTCATCACTTGGAACAATGTTATCACAGCATGTCAGTGTAGGCTAGTAGTTCCTGAAGGGAGGTTTGTCATCACTTGGAACAATGTTATCACAGCATGTCAGTGTAGGCTAGTAGTTCCTGAAGGGAGGTTTGTCATCACTTGGAACAATGTTATCACAGCATGTCAGTGTAGGCTAGTAGTTCCTGAAGGGAGGTTTGTCATCACTTGGAACAATGTTATCACAGCATGTCAATGTAGGCTAGCAGTTCCTGAAGGGAGGTTTGTCATCACTTGGAACAATGTTATCACAGCATGTCAGTGTAGGCTAGTAGTTCCTGAAGGGAGGTTTGTCATCACTTGGAACAATGTTATCACAGCATGTCAGTGTTGGCTAGTAGTTCCTGAAGGGAGGTTTGTCATCACTTGGAACAATGTTATCACAGCATCACTTGGAACAATGTTATCATAGCATGTCAGTGTTGGCTAGTAGTTCCTGAAGGGAGGTTTGTCATCACTTGGAACAATGTTATCACAGCATGTCAGTGTTGGCTAGTAGTTCCTGAAGGGAGGTTTGTCATCACTTGGAACAATGTTATCACAGCAGGTCAGTGTAGGCTAGTAGTTCCTGAAGGGAGGTTTGTCATCACTTGGAACAATGTTATCACAGTATGTCAGTGTAGGCTAGTAGTTCCTGAAGGGAGGTTTGTCATCACTTGGAACAATGTTATCACTAGTGCTTGTATTGGCATATTACCTGCGATACGATACATCACGATGGTAAAATTTTAGTCACGACGATATATTGCCAAAGTATTGTGCACTGAAGCTGCGATACGATACGAATCCCGATACAAGGGTGGCGATACGATACGTATTTTGATACTAAAAATTTTAATTCTAACACCAACTATAAAACACCTTAAGATCAAAACAAAATCATTTAAAAAAGATTTCGTCAAATTCCACAAGCGTTTTTCAATGCTCATTTGGAAACGAGATAATTAAGTTTATACACGGACTTTGTGTATGTTAATAACATGCGAGCGCTATGTCTGACACAGTTCTTGACGCATGAATTTCCAAGAAAATGTTTACTTATGAAGGGAAAATATGCAAGCATATATTTTAATCATCAAACAAAAGTAAGTCCTTTTTTGACAGATATCGCGATTCGGCAATATTCAAAGTAAAACATCAATGTATCGTGGCCCATTTGAAGTATCGTATCGGGATATACGACAATGTAAAACTTTGTATCGATTCACTGTATGGATCGATGCATCGGTGCGTATCGATGAATTGTTACACCACTAGTTATCACAGCATGTCAGTGTAGGCTAGTAGTTCCTGAAGGGAGGTTTGTCATCACTTGGAACAATGTTATCACAGCATGTCAGTGTAGTGTGTGTGTGTGTGTGTGAGGGGGTTGGGGATGAGAGAGCCCCCAAACTCTGCAAGGTATAGACTTTCACCACCTGGTGGAAACATTGGTGACATAATCAAGGTGAATCTGGGATTCAAACACATGACCTGTCTGTGTTTTATATCAGTTCATGTTTAGGACACTGACTCATCAGCATACTGGATGTCCTGAAGACTAAATAATTTGGCAATAATATATACACAAATATTATAACTTTGGTCAAATAAGAAAGGTTATGTGTGAAGTACCCCAACTCACTTGAAGTCTGGCTGTGTCTTTGTGAGGACCAGTTCCAGGGCATTGAGGATGTATGGCACCAGGATCTGTACCCCTGCCAGGTCAACCCGCAGCAGGTCGCAGGAGTTGAACAGGATGTTGGACAACACTTGACCACTGATCACACCCTGGCAACATAGATTCTTTTTGTAATACCGATATCCCTGATATCCTGGATTTCAATCATCTAGCCATTCATCAGGTAACTGAAATACTGTATGGTTAAAAGTATCAAACTCAGCAGCATGGTGTCACACCATTAGTGATACAACTGTTGAAACAATCAAGATGATCATTGATATTTTCACTGTTATCAGGGAGAGCTTGTCAAGGGACATAACTGCTACTCCGCATAGGGAAAACACCAAAGGGAATTATCTCCCCTTAATTTTTTTCAATTTTTGTTCTAAGGATAGTCTGTAATGGTCCATGAAGAGAAGGAGTAAAAGGCTGGCACAACCTAGAGGGAAAGTTTATGCAAATAAGTGATATTTTCACAGCTATCACCCACATTGCCACATCATAACAGTCAACATCCTCCTGCAATTACAGTGTTTGCCATGATCATTACAATTTCATAACACTTTCTGCATGTCTGTCTATCTGTTCACTATCAGCATGATCACCATCATGATCATCGTCAGTTTCATTATGGGGGCGGTGGGGTAGCCTAGTGGTTAAAGCGTTGGCTCGTCACACCAAAGACCCGGGTTCGATTCCCCACATGGGCACAATGTGTTAAGCCCATTTCTGGTGTCCCCCGCCGTGATATTGCTGGAATATTGCTAAAAGCAGCGTAAAACCAAACTCAGTCAGTCAGTTTCATTATGACCATCATAATTACTATTCCTAATGATTGTCATGATCACTAAAGTCAGCGATGTCACTGCTATTGAAGCTAACAGAGTAAATCACTTGGTCTACACACCCACAACTTTAAGGGATGTTTATTATATTGCCACTTCACCAAACTGTGATTAAGAACACCTCCCAAGGTCTCCAATAACTAAAGGGAAGTAACTACTGACTGGTCAATCTGAAACTGTTCCAAGCATCAGTTGTTAATGTTCTTCAGTCACTCTACTTTGTTTTCAGTGACTACTGCAGAAGAACTTGTGTTGCAACTCCAATCATAATTCAGCCATGCATCCTATGGTGTGAACATTTCCTTTACCCAAGTAATCCCCACTGTCATCACTGTGATCATCAGTCATATCTCAATACAGTAAACACCATATATACTATAGTGGTCGGGAATCAGGAATACAGTAAACACCATATATACTATAGTGGTGGAAGCAGGAATACAGTAAACACCATATATACTATAGTGGTCGGAAGCAGGAATACAGTAAACACCATATACACTATAGTGGTCGAGAAGCAGGAATACAGTAAACACCATATACACTATGGTGGTCGGGAAGCAGGAATACAGTAAACACCATATATACTATAGTGGTCGGGAAACAGGAATACAGTAAACACCATATATACTATAGTGGTCGGGAATCAGGAATACAGTAAACACCATGTAATTTTTAGAGTAAAATTGATATTTTATACTTATCCTGACTCATGCTCTTTTGCTTGTCTTCTTCTTCTTGCGAACATAGTGGAACACTTGTATCTCCTTAATTGAAGCTCCCTTCAATGTAAAATCACTAATTGGCACTCACCAAGAGTTGCCTCCCTTGCCCCCTTGGCGGGAACAGTTGTCACCACCCTCTGGCCTCATGCTTCACTCTCTCCTGATTTTGCGAGCCCAACACTTGAATTTACAGGGAAATCCAAAGTGTTATGTGGGGAGGATGGGAGGGCTAACCTCATGAGTCAGGATAAGTATAAAATATCAATTTTACTCTAAAAATTACATATTTTTCCTTATCCTGACTCATGCTCTTTGTTTGTGTAGAATCCTACGGAAGCGGAGGTGGGCAAAACAGAATACTTTGGATTTATAGAATTAGTGATTTATATAGATATAACTGTAATAACCCCTTACGGGAACTTCATAAAGGCATAGACTTAGGATATTTCCTCTATTATAAGCCATAGGTTATATTTGCCATACTGGGGTATTTACAATAATAATATACTGTGAAATTATCAAATAACAATATCAAAGCGACTCTGATAGAGAAGCTATACAACTGAACATAATCATCAGTAAAAGCTTAAGGGTGAGTAGACCTAAGCTAAGTATATACATAGTGCTAGAACTCCGTGAGAGTTATAAGCTAGATAATGCATGTATCAATTATGCATATTAATCTCAGTAAGACTACGTGTTAACGTTTACGAGGGACTGTCAACTGCTGTGTGAGGGACCAAAGGGACCCGAAATGGTGAATACCTGAGACGCGTCCTCAGTGGTGATATCTCTCAGATAGTGATTAGCAAACACCATGTTAGATTTCCAAAAGCATCCTTCCATAATTGTATTCAATGAACAGTTACCGTGTAGGGCGCAGAGTGGAAGCCAATGCCCTGATCTCATGGGGATTTGATGCTGTTGGAGGGTCGAGTCCTGCTGCCTTGTAGTAGGCCAAGTATGACAGTTCTTATCCATATAGATATGGTGAGTACGAGAGATTTCTGTCTGAGTTGTTGCCGACAAGGGAATGAATAATCTTTTGAGAAATCTTAAGCCTTGTTTTGGAACGTCGTAAAATAGATTTTGAGAGCTCTGACTGGGCATAGAGATAAGTCCAGTGTATCTTGAGATCCGAGAATCGAGGATAGTGCAGGGATATGGAATAACCTGTCTGGTTGACCTGGTAGTTGATTTTTTGGCGATGAAATCCCATCTTAGTCCCAGGTGTGCTGTGTTTTGATTGTCATCAAACTGTATCCTCTCATAATCTAGTCGCGCGAATTTCCGACATCCTGGCTGCTGTGGCTAGAGATAACAGGAAAAGCGTTTTCTGTGAGAGAAATTCAAAGTTTGTCGATTCCAACCGTTCATAAGCCTCACTTGTGAGGTGTTGTAACACTATATTCAGATCCCAAGCTGGGGCGTGGAACTTCCGCTTTTGGTCCTCCAATCGGAAAGCACGTAGTAAGGCCAGTAACTCTGGTGTTTTAGTCAATTGACACCCGTTCTCATAGTAATCACAGAACTAAGCGCGGCAAGATATGTTGACAATGTCGAGCCTTTTAAATGTTTGTTTTGCCGTAAGTAACACAAATAATCTGCCACTTGTGGATGAGTAGCATCTCTCGCTGTAAATCCCTTATTTGCTGCGTAATTTTCAAAACTGTGCCACTTGTCGTCGTACAAGTTACGTGTAGAATTGCGTAAGGCAAGCGTGACCGCTTTTGCCGCCCTGGTAGAATATCCTCTCTTGTTTAAACACATTTTAATACAGTCCATACGTGAAGTTGGAATACTTCTGGGCTTCGTGCACCTGTCTGGTGTGTGGATGTATTAATAGATTTGGCGCTTGGGCAGCTCTAGTGTTGGTTGACCGATTTCTTGATTAGAATGGGAAACCACGTTCTGGCCGGCCAGTAGGGCGCGACCAAAGTGAGTTGGAGGCTCTGTGTTTGTCTGATTTTCTGTAACACTTGAGGTATTATTGTTGGCGGCGGAAACGCGTACGCATTGAGGCCTTCCCAAGATATGCTTAGAGCGTCCGTTGCCCATGCTTGTGGGTCTGGGACTGGTGACACGAATGTCGGTAGCTGATTGTTGAAGCGTGTGGCGAATAGATCTACTAGCGGCGCTCCTATTTTCTTGATTATCTGTGCAAATATTTGTGTATTGAGCATCCATTCTGTCGGTGACGTTTGATGTGGCCGAGAGAGTGCGTCTGCTAGTACATTCTTGGCTCCGGGAATGTGACATGCTCTGACATGTAGGTTTACATCGTGGATTAGATCGAACAGTTGAAAGCTTAAAGTCAATAGGTTCAGTGATCTCGTTGAGCCTTGTTTGTTCACATAGAACGCCACTGTCGAAGTTGTCGGTATGAATCATTAAGTCGCGATTCTGTAGAATGGTGCTCCAATGAAGTATGGCGTTGATTACAGCTTTCATCTCTAACATGTTTATATGGAGCTTGCTTTCTTGCTGATTCCATAACCCTGATGCCGTCCGGTTGGCGCAGATGAGCTCCCCAACCTTGGAGCCACGCGCCTACATATAGATGGGTTTTGAATTCGGCTCTGTTAAACAAATACCTTCGCAGACATTCGACCTCCTGGTCCACCATATAGTAGATGAGGTCTGAGGTGTTTCGGTAGACTGAATGGTTGTAGGTCGTCGAGATGTGCATTGATGAAGACCTGTAATGGGCGTAACTGTAATCTGCCTCTGACTGTCATGTCTTGGGCTGACGTGAGGAGACCCAACAAGCTCTGCCATTGTCGTAGTGGTAACGGAGAGAGTAGAGCTGGCAGAATGGTCTGTTGGATCTTGAGCCAACGGTCTTCTGGTACGACGATACGGTTGAGATTCGTGATAAATCGAATGCCTAGAAACTGCAGATCTTGCGATGGTACTAGGTCCGACTTGAGTAAGTTTACTAACCATCCTAGCTGTGTTAGTAGCTTTATGATGTAGTTTTAACTGTAGTTTGAGACGCTGTGGATCTTGATCTACTTGTATCCCGTCGTCGAGGTAGAACGCGACTCGCGTAGCCCTAGACGATGTAGATAGGTGACAATAGGTTTCGTTATCCTCGTGAATAGCCAGGGGCTGATGATATTCAATGGGAGTACTTTACATTGGTAATGTAGCCCGCCTACTGTAAATCTTAGATATTTCTGGATTAGGGATGTATCGGGATGTGTAGATATGCGCCTTGCAGATCTATACTGGCCATGTAATCCATGGGGCTTAATCAACCGTCAGAACTGAGGTAGGTGTATCATGCGCAAACTTTGGTGGTTTGGCGAGATAATTCCTGTTGAAAAGCTCATGTTGTAAATGACTCTGTATTTCTCCTTGGAGTTTTTCTTGGGTACTAGGAAAACTGGGGAGTAGAAGCCTGGTTCGATGTTTACTTGATCTAGTACTTCTATGGCCTGCTTGGTTATGAGTGATGTAACAGCCTCTCTTAACTTTGGTAGTTGTTGTGCCTGTAAGTCTAACTTGTGAGGGTTGACTGTCAGCAGAGGCGTGGCCTGTAGTGGGATCTGAAACCGTGTTGAAGAATGTTGGAGACATAAGGGTCTTGTAACATTCCCCAGTTCTCCCAGTGTAGTTGGAGGCGCCCACCCACTTGTGACGGTTGTACTGGAACGGCTGGGGTGGAAGACTCCAGTCGTTCTAACCTGTCTTTCAGCGCTTATAGTTGCGGAACCTCTGGGTGTCCTGCCTCTTCCAGACCCTCCTCTATAGTTGCCATATGGGCTTAATTTAAAAGAATCTTTTCCTGGCGCTGGCTATCTTCCTATCCCGTGCTTTCTGTAGTCCCGAACTTAGATCTCCCTGAGTATCTTTGTGAAGTCTGCCTGATGACGCTGGCTAGCGTGTCCATCGACTTGATCATAAGGACTTCTCTGGAGTCCTTAGTGACTTCCTTGGAGACTTTGTCTATTCCTCCGTCAAAGATGGATGGGGAAGACCACGGGCTGTATAGAGTGGAGCTGTAAAGTTCTCACCCCAGCTGCAGGAAGCGAGGAGGCCTTGACGACAAGCTAAGGTCAGCTGCTGAGACAGATGTGAGATGATCTGTAAGGAACTGCTGGTCCTTCTTTTGCATCAGTAGGGCCGAGTAGATCATCCTATCATCTTCAGAGGTCGTGATACGAAATCTGGTGATAAGTGTCTCATTGATCGCTCTAGATCTATTTAGGCCAAAAACATGCGTCTCGCCATGGTTTCTATCTGCACCAGCTTGCGATCGCCAATCTTGTAGTTCTTGTTCTTAACATCGCTGATCAGCTTGTAGTTGTCATCGATGTCTTGTGCCTTCAGGAGGGGTCCATGTTGTCGCGTGGAGAACTTCTTAGCGTGAAAGTTCGGCAGATGTGGTGTCTGCACTTTCGTGGCTTTATGGAAGGCTGTATCTAGATTCTGTGGCACCGCAGCAATCAGGTCGATCGGAGGTAGGGTGACGGCGTCTGCATCGTCTTCCTTCATCAGGTATGTCTGCGCTGAGTTGCCACTCTTGGACGGTGAAGATAAATCTAGGTTGTTTACCATCCAATATCTTATCTCAGCGTCTGAAAAGATGATGCCTCCATCATCTTCTGTACCAGCATCGGTGATGAGAGGTTGATGCTCTTCTGATGGTGAACTGTGGGCTGCTATCTCTATGTCGGGTGACGCTTGAGGAGACCTGACTGTAGACTTGTGTGCCGACTTGTGTGGTGACCTGCGAGGTGATGTACGTGGAGATCGGGCGTGGTGAACGGGCGTGGAGATCGCCTAGGTGATCTGGCGTCTATGGGATGACCTTCTCGGAGATCTGCGAGGAGAATGTTGATAGCTTCGCTAAGCTCTTGAGTAGTCCCTCGACGCCCTTCTGGACGATGACGATCTGTGTGACGGCCTTCGCAGCTTCCTCTGCGCCCGACCTGGGAGCGGCGCCTTGACCTCCGTGACGACTTCCGTGATGTCTGGTGGTCTGAGTCCGCGATCTGAGGATGAGGCCGAGGACGGTGACGACGATCTCTCCCGTCTTCGAAGGCCTTCGCGAAGACTGTACATCTGGGTCCTTCGCCGAGGTGGTCTGTGACTTCCTTCTCGAAGGCTGCTTCGTCGCCGTGGCTGCTACGCTGACTGGGGTGCCTCTGGGGTGTCGTCTGCGCTGCTCAGGCCCTGGGCTGGCTGCTTCTCCCGCCTGTAGTGGCCCTCCATCATGGTCATGATCTGCCGCATCAGCTCGTCTGGGATGGTCTGCGACGAAGTGGTCGGTGCCCTCTCTGCGATGACAGCTGCTGAGCCCTCAGGGAAGTCGTCTGACATCAGTGTAGAGACATCAGGCTGCATGGCGATCTCTGCTGATGTCACTGTAGCTGTCACCGGTCGCTTCTTGTGGCGACGCCAGGGATGATGATCGGCTGATCATCGAGAGGCCCAGTTCGGGCGGCTGGAACGATCTCGGCTGAGAAAGTTCTTGACGACTTCGTGGAGACTTCCCCTTTGAGGTCGACGCTGCCCTGGGGTCCGAAGTCTGCGCGTTGAGAAGACGCCGAGGCTCTCTTGGACTTTAGCTGGCGATGACGGACGCCTGGGGAGGCAGGACGCTTCTTAGAGGTGGCGGACTGCATCCCACGCCCATCTTCCGACGGAGTCTCTAGCGGAACACCAGACGGGAGGGGTCGATCGACAGCAGCTGACTGGATGGGGAATCCGATGTATCGCCATGTCTAACCCTTGTTTGCGTGACCTATCTGCAGTACGCCTCACGACGCAAAGATATTTATGAAAAGCAGAATTAGATAGATTAATGCAGTAACTGCAACGTGAATCAAACGCACAAGGCAGAAGCACAACTAGGGCATAATACATGCGGGTCAGCAACAGAAAACGTAAACTGCAAATAGTACAGATTTTCATCAACGTAATACTAGCTGAACAATCACTTAACTCACGTGAATAAACAGTAGAAATAACGATTAATTATCAATGCAAATTAATGAAGGATACTAGCTATACCTCTATAGTAACCTATAAGAGGTAATAAACTAAGAAAAACCAAAGGATATAGTGTGTAAGGAGACACAGGCGCTCTCACATCCTGCTCACTGGGCGAAGAAGGAGAGAGTGAAGCATGAGGCCAGAGGGTGGCGACACCTGTTCCCGCCAAGGGGGCAAGGGAGGCAACTCTTGGTGAGTGCCAATTAGTGATTTTACATTGAAGGGAGCTTCAATTAAGGAGATACAAGTGTTCCACTATGTTCGCAAGAAGAAGAAGACAAGCAAAAGAGCATGAGTCAGGATAAGGAAAAATATATACATTATAGTGGTCGGGAAGCAGGAATACAGTAAACACCATCTATACTATAGTGGTCGGGAATCAGGAATACAGTAAACACCATATACACTATAGTGGTCGGGGATCAGGAATACAGTAAACACCATATATACTATAGTGGTCGGGAATCAGGAATAATTCCCCCTCTCCATGTTTCATGATCCCAGTATGTAAGCCTCCATCTACAACTACAGCTTCTGTAGTGGACTTCCTACTACTAACCTCCTCGGTCTGCAGCCCATAGTACATGATGAGATAGAACCTGGAATAGTAGACTGGCAGAATATCCTCCCTTGTTTTGTGTGCACAGAATATCCTGCAGAGGGCGCCACAAGCCTCTGCCCGCCCTGCCTCATATGTGTTGTCACTGCTCAGTGATGTATCAGATGGGTCCGCAGATGTCGAACTGTGCTTCGACTCAATGAAAGAACTGGTTCGACGCTGATTTTTGTCTGAGTTGGGAAAAGAAGAGCTCAAGATATATCTTGGGATTCTTCAAATTATTGTACATGTCAAGCTACTATAAGGTTATCAAAAGGATGATACATTTCTATAAACAGTTATGACATACCATAAACATGAAATGTTAGATAGCTATATAAAACTCTGGAGTTGCTTCAGTTTTGCAGAAAACAATTTCACTGTTTCTATTTGCAACATGTCTTTCCATGGTTAACTTTTCTCAAAGTGACAGAGGAAGAGTTAGTGCCACAGTGGCACATCAATAGTTAGAATACCTGAAACATGAAACACTTTCTGGTAATAAACTGCAACAGGTTGAACTTACGTTTAGTAGCATGTGCTGCATGGAGCTTTACCCCTGCAAGTGAAGCATCAAATAACCAAGCTCCGAACAGGTGCAGCACACTGTTACATGAGGGACGTGTTGGAGCAAATGGGAAGCGACTTCCTAGGGAGAGTCTACCCACACTACTACTGATTGGAGGGGCAGTTGTCTTGGGTGTTGCATTCTGGGAGCCCTTGCTTGAACCTGGTAACAGAGATGAAGGGGAAGTGACTGAGTTTGCTTGTGGCATTATCCCAGCAAAGTAAACGTGGGAGGGGGGTTGGGCACACAGTAAATAGTTCTAAAACTTGTTGGCAATTATTACCCCTGGGCCATTCTACTGACCCTCAAACAAAGCTTTGAGCACTAAAGATCCACTGGTTATCTTCACAAACAGTGTCAACATATGTGTCATCAGATGTTGATTTAAAAAAAACCGTCTTTAGCAATATGTCTTTGTTGTGCAGTGAAACTTATCTCTCATTCACAACTGAATTTGGTATATCTGTAACCCACACCACTGGACTAACATCATGTGATGATGTAGAAGGTTTACCTTTGCTGGTGAGGGTGCTGGTGAGGACCGACATGGGTAGGTTGGGCTTGGTGGTCTTGCGCTGCCCTGGGGGTGTGGAGGGGGTGGCAGACAGAGCTGTGGAGATGATCAGTCCGGCTGCCATCAGATTCTCCTCCTTCACAGACTGAGGAACACCTTCACGTTCAAGGTCAAAACATGGTGAGTAGGGTCATACCAAAAGTTGTTTGAAGAAATGCATTTGATATTTAATTCATTTAATTCTGCCAATATTAGGCCTAAAAAAATAATCTTGGTTCTAAGTTCTTAGGCACCGCCTCCCTATGTTTCATTTGCATGTTCATTTAAATAATAAATGATTTTTTTGATAAATATGCCACAACTCAAACACACAACCTTGGCAGTGAATGCTGCAATACAATGAATAACAAGCTCCAATATAGTGTGCAGTTACTTCCCTTTGCATGTGCACTACGTGTGTCATGATAATGCTGGCTGTAGCTTGTTAAGCTGTGTGATCAATGGCAATATAAAATTTGCTATGAAACATTAATAGACATGATGATTTGCAAATCTGATGGTATTTGTGTAATGAATGCCAGACATTTTTCTTACACAGAAAGTAAGATTACATGTGTATATGCCTCGAAATATAGCGGTGCCTTGCCATCAGCTGTTCACACAGTTGAAGCTTGTATGTGTGTGTTATGTGTGCACAGTATTATGACTGTATTCTAGAATACCCTGTCAATTTATAATGTTTGATATTGAAAGCAATATATGTATTTTAGGATAAGATCGTGGGCACATTTTGTATATTCATTGTTTGAGATTGTGATTGTACTAGAAAGTAAAGAAAATTAATACAAATTTACTGGATACTAGTATTAGAATACATTGGCAGAGGTGAACATAAAAACATACATGCATCTGCTTTCAAAACACACAGCGGGTTATCTGACTGTGAGGCAGGAATATATTGTTGGTGCTCTTGATGGTATATACTGTACATACAGTATACACAGGATGAGAACAAGTTACGTTCTGGGAATTACAACTGTATGAAATCTTGGAGCTCCTGAGTTCTCTTAGTCCTACATGTCTGGTCCTGTCACTGGATCACCTGACAGTGGATCAACAGCTCTCTCTAGGATGACATCAGAAATAATGTCTGAAATTACTGGGGACTAGTAAACACAGAAGTCAAACAGCAGATACAAAGAACACAAACCAGCTCTTGATTAATGTGTTCATTTGAAACATCTCAGTTTGATATTGAACTGAACACATTTAGCTCACCTAAGAAAGCATTAACCATGACAGAGACACCTCGCATTGCCTTGAAGAAGATGATCGGGAGCTTTAACAGACATTCGTGATGACTAGGATCGATGACCGCCTCACTGGCCAGGGCATACTGCAGGAAGAGCTGTGTGTTGCTGATGGTGTTTGGGCGACACAGGTCCACAGGGTTCTGGATGATGTGGAGGAAGCGGAACCAGCTCTGGGTGATGCATTCATTGCTGGTGTCAGGTGGGATCACCTGGCTGTCCTCCTCACCTGAAACATCATCATCAGGTCAGGCCCTGTCAATCAGGAAACCCCCACAATCATCATCTGGTCACACCCTGTCAATCAGGAAACCCCCACAATCATCATCTGGTCACACCCTGTCAATCAGGAAACCCCCACAATCATCATCTGGTCACACCCTGTCAATCAGGAAACCCCCACAATCATCATCTGGTCACACCCTGTCAATCAGGAAACCCCCACAATCATCATCTGGTCACACCCTGTCAATCAGGAAACCCCCACAATCATCATCTGGTCACACCCTGTCAATCAGGAAACCCCCACAATCATCATCTGGTCACACCCTGTCAATCAGGAAACCCCTAATTAATGTCCTAATCATCATCAGCTCTGACCTGTCAACAGTTAATCCTGTTAATGTGGAAACCCTCTTTAATCATCAGATCCAACCCTGTTAATGTGAAACCCTAACTAATCACCAACAGTCAAGAAACTGTTAATCTGGAAACTCTCACTAATCACCAACAGTCAAGAAACTGTTAATCTGGAAACTCTCACTAATCACCAACAGTCAAGAAACAGTTAATCTGGAAATTCTCACTAATCACCAACAGTCAAGAAACAGTTAATCTGGAAACTCTCCCTAAGTTTTGGGCTGGCACAAAAACTCTTCCCCGCTGTGACATGATTCAAGGAAACTGTATTCTTATCACCTAACACTGTATACATACTTTAAAACAAATAACTTTGAAATGTTTTTGAGACAAATATCTTATTCTAATTAGAATATATGATTATGGTAGGCTTCAGTATACTTTGTGTTTTGGACCATATTAAGCAACAATTCTTATTCTTTCTTAGACAGATTATTGTTGTTGAATACAGAGAGCGTGGAATTATATATCCAAGAAAGCTTTTGGACTTTTTCAGAGTGGCAAGAGATAAGGCCCCACTTTTCAATGAAGACAATGTGACCTCACCAACAAGCAGCTCCGGGTATTCAGGGCCATACATCATCCGTATGATCCTGGAAGTGAGGGCATGGTTGATCTTGTGCCACTGTATCACCAGAGCTTCGTGGTGGCGCCAGAACTGACACATGTTGCGGAACGTCTTCCACAGCGACGGGGATGGGAAGCACTTTGAACACGCCAGCATCCAGATCCCGAACAGCACACTGAGAACTCGCTCACACAGGTGATCTCCGATATCATCTGCAGGCATACAATCTCTGCTATGTCACTGAGGAACCTAATAGACCAACCCTGTGCCAACAATACTGACACAATTCCATCATGTATATTCCCTCCCATTATGTAAAAGTTTACTTTAGCCCTTAAAGAGAAAATGTCAAATAACCACAGAATTGAATTAGTATTGAAGTTAGTGGAAATAATGGAAGTATTTCAAACAAAATGGAATAGCCATTGTCATATGAAGAAAACCATTTTAAGCTTCATAAAACTTCCAGATTAAAACACTGAACAAGGTTAATAATACAGAATTGTATTTTTGTTACTGTGTTGTGTGCGTGACATTCCGTGACTGAAGCTGAAGTATTGTGAGTCTGTGATGGTGGTGTGAGTGGGGATACATACATGATCTCAAAATCAACAACAGACTCCACTAACATAATGGGGTCATTTCTATGCCACTTTTACCATTACTCCAATCATATGACTGCCATGGACTTCAAGGATGAGCTTTATTGTCAAGGATGTTTATCGTATTCATGTCTGGATTAAACCCCAGGTCTTCAAGCAAGAGCTGTACCCACCACCATAGAACTTTGACAGTTGGATATGAGGTGTGGTAAATGGTTGATTTGAGTTAGAAAGTCCTCTGATTGTGCTTCCTTTTCTGTGAATTTCACTCTTTTGCCATATCTACACATAGATTATGGGTTATTTTGAAATTCATGATTGTTATTTGGAGACAAATGGACTATAACTGACTTGTAGACATGGTAGAAGTAAGCACAATCATCAGAATGATGATTTTACATCACAATTTCTAATTCAGCAGTACTTTCCTGCAGCATAGCTGTATGTTGGATTACAGTGAGATGCACATCTCAAAAGTTGTGACCTTGACCTATCACAAATCTACCGGTATTTTGACATTATGAAAACAGTACCGGTATATATTATAGACAGAATTCTAGATGAGGGTAGGCGACTGCAAGTGTGGTCCACAAACATGTCCTTAACATTTTGTATTGGTGTAGGTTGGCATGCAGACAAATTTTGCTGTTTGATGACTTATAATACCATTACATGGAGGTAGAGGTCAAGGTCACTGTACGTGAGTTACTGTCATTCAATGTGAGTGCTGTAAGCTTGGTCAAGTTTTTACTAGTGCAAGTTAGTCGCACTACTGAAATGACTTAGGGTGTGCATGAATTGGTCAAAGATACTGTGACAGATTCATTGAAATGTGATTCAATATCATAGTCTGCAAAATCGAGCTTACTTGCTTGTGAATTTCACCTTCCTACCACATCTACATCTGACTCAGTCTGAGAACTTTATGAGTCCCCCACATATACCATAGTAGCCAAGCCCTTTGTGCACCATAAGCTGATTCATTAAAAGTTATCATTACAGAATGAAAATATAAAACTTGGATGAGGAAGGCTGGCATCAACCATGTTGCTGTATTTGACCCTGTCCCCAGCACTGCTGCCCAGCTGACTGTATAACATGTAAATATATTCCTGTATTTTCCCTCCAAGGATCCAGTGTTCCCTATCAACAATACTCCACCCATAGCACTGCACAACCAAGCATTCATGATACTGGGTTTTTAATTTTATCATGTAAATTATATGCAAAGGCTGAAAAAGAATAAAAGTTAAATTGTTTGTCAAAAACACCAAAACACAAGAAGCTGAAGATGACCAGCAATGTTCTACTCCATGCCACTGTGTTCACAGTAATGCAACAAAATACAACACCAATGAATACTACAATGGCTATGCTAACAAATCATAAATTTACTTTAATAACAGCCAAATAATCACCATTCTAGCATGCAAGCAAAGATCTTGTGTCAAGTTTTTAACCAAAGCTTCTCACATGATCAAGCTAGATCACGGCTACATCACATCTAGGATCAGAGCAATACCTCAGTGGTTAACACAATGTATCAACCATGTCTCAATTTCTTCGCTTTGCAAAAACAAAATCCATAAAATGATAATTTCCATAGATCAAATGATGTTCGCTGGTTATGCTAATATACTGGACATTTCAAAATCACATACTGGTTTGGTTAAAACTGCTGGTTTATATTTAGGAGATAAACATCATGTGTTGGCCAATTTCCGGGTGTTATTGAGTATTTGAAGCATGGGAATTCATTTGGAACTGACGGCGTCAGCCGGAGGTTTCAAATGGAATATTCCCGTGCTTCAAATACTCAATAACACCCGGAAATTGGCCAACACATGATGTTTATCGACATTGTAAACACAAAAGTAAACCAAAAGGTCCACACATGTTTTTGTGTCTGCACTCATTTCAATAGAGTACGGTAACAGCAGTGAAATGTCATCAGCCGGTCGTTTCGGCTGTCTCCCATGGTAGCATCTAGAACTGCTCATTTGTGACGTCATTCGGACTTTACGTCACAATATGATTTGAATGACGTCATCTCAGCTGACGACGTAACAATACAATGGTGTGAGCGATGTTTGTATGTATTAATACGCAGCGAATTTCCGGGAATCGAATACCATTTGATCACGTTTTTCAACCAATCAGATTAAAGAACACAGTAACTTTTGGTTTACAATTACTTAATCATTTTTTTGTAAAAATACAGTAACTGAAAGCAATCTTAGGTCTAAACCTGTCATAACTTTTTAAGAAAAATCTGCACAGTTGTCGAGCCCAAATTGTGGAATAAGGCTCAGGGCCCCATTTCACAAAGCTACTTAAGATGGTCGGAGTGCTACGAACACAAAGGGAACCCTGAATACACAAGTCTTTTAACATCAGTATTGTAAACTACTGGACATGAAAAACCTGTTTACCCAAACAAACTTGAAGATGGTACATATACATGTATATCTAAATGCCCTTCAAAGATTTTATAGATCTTTAGGTTTGATGTGATCATAAAATTGAAATAAATATAACATACATGAATACTGACAATAGCTTTTCACAAAACACTACATGAATACCTTAGCACCACTGTGAAACATAAAGGACAACTTGCACAAAACCATCATAAATGCCAACTTTGATATTGAATAACACTGGCCCACAAATGTATCGTAACTCCCCATATTAAAGTTTGGAAATGTTGTTGCCCCAAGCACTACAACAATCATCACTCCAGTACTTTAACAACTGAGATGTTGTAGTGCTCTAACTGTTGTAACTCTTAATGTCCACCACAGACGTACACAAGTACCACACCTAATGGAAGCCCCTTATTGTTACAACACCCCATAAGTCACAACTATCATTTCTGTAGCTCCCATACTCTGAAGCTCGCAATAATCAAACCTATACAAGAGTGGTAACTTCCTTCCTGTACAATAGTCGCAGCTACGATGGCTTTGTGAACGAGAGCCCTGCAAGGTTACGAGACATGCTTCATTCCACAAACATACAACTACCGTATTCTCCATATTAAGCACCCCACAAAATAAACACTTCTGGAAGTACTCATCATTAGCGCCCCTTGACAATAACTGAAAATCTATATTTTCTTGTACATATTACATAGAGGATTTTTTCTCAAAAACAGGAACATAATCATAAAAGTATTAAAAAAAAGTTTCAGTTTCACTGATGCTTGAACTAAGTTTGTCCCAACCATTCCTTCTCCGAAAATTTGTTATTAATGTGTCCACTTCTGTAAATCTTCTAAGCACCCAGGGAGCTTATTAAAGTGAATACGGTACTTCTACTTTGCCTGGCCCAAATGCTGGAAGAAATTTTCTTCATGACATAAATGATAGTCTCTAGCAAGTAAAACAATAGATTATGATTGATACTTTACATTTGCTCATCAGCACAGTGTACACTAAACATCATCTGTTTTCCCAGACTTGTTGAAGCGTGTGCCACGCTATATTCATATCAAAAGCTTTGCAAAGTGTACCAACAACTAAAAAAGTGTTGAATCATAATGTCAGGACTGTTTCCGAATGCCATCTTGTCCCCTACTTTATGTGAGTATCTGTAATGCAGAGTGCCAGAGTGTGTGTTCTGAAGCCATTTATAGCTCCTGACATATGACAGTGGGTGAAACCAAAAATGGGCTGCACATATTTTACCCATGTTGTAAGCCAGGTCTTCAGAGTGATAGAGAAACACATAAAAAATAACAGTTAACTACCCTTTCTGACTTCCTTTCACACATTTAAAAACATGGAGACTGACAAATGCAAATGACAAGTTACACAACTGAACCAAAAAGACGGAAGGTACAAACAAACTGTTTTGCATTGAGCATGATAAGGCAAAGCTTATGCAACAGAGGCCCCTCGATGCCATCATATTTGAAGACCTGGCTGGCTTTGTTTCTGTTTTTGATTCTTGGCATTAACTGAGAAAGTAGGAATGGAACAAAACCAGCTTTGTTTCTGTCTTTGATCCATGGCATTAACTGAGAAAGTAGAAATGGAACAAAACCAGCTTTGTTTCTGTTTTTGATCCTTGGCATTAACTTAGAAAGTAGGAATGGAACAAAACCAGACTTGTTTCTGTCTTTGATCCTTGGCATTAACTTAGAAAGTAGGAATGGAACAAAACCAGGCTAGCTATTCTCGAAACGTTCGTAGCCCTACGATGTTCTTAGGCCCATTCTTAACACATTGGCTACGATCAAAGTTAAGAATTCTTAGGACTACGAACGTTTCGAGAATAAAGGCCGAGCTTTGTTTCTGTCTTTGATCCTTGGCATTAACTGAGTAACTAGGAATGGAACAAAACCAGCTTTGTTTCTGTCTTTGATCCTTGGCATTTACTGAGAAAGTAGGAATGGAACAAAACCAGCTTTGTTTCTGTCCTTGATCCTTGGCATTAACTGAGAAAGTAGGAATGGAACAAAACCAGCTTGGTTTCTGTCTTTGATTCTTGGCATTAACTTAGAAAGTAGGAGTGGAACAAAACCAGCTTTGTTTCTGTCTTTGATCCTTGCCATTAACTGAGAAAGTAGGAATGGAACAAAACCAGCTTTGTTTCTGTCTTTGATCCTTGGCATTAACTTAGAAAGTAGGAATGGAACAAAACCAGCTTGGTTTCTGTCTTTGATCGTTGGCATTAACTGAGAAAGTAGGAATGGAACAAAACCAGCTTGGTTTCTGTCTTTGATTCTTGGCATTAACTGAGAAAGTAGGAATGGAACAAAACCAGCTTGGTTTCTGTCTTTGATCTGAGTAAGTAGGAATAGCTTGGCTGTCTTTGAACATTAACTAAGTAGGAATGGAACAAAACCAGCTTGGTTTCTGTCTTTGATCCATGGCATTAACTGAGTAAGTAGGAATGGAACAAAACCAGCTTTGTTTCTGTCTTTGATCCTTGGCATTAACTGAGAAAGTAGGAATGGAACAAAACCAGCTTGGTTTCTGTCTTTGATCCATGGCATTAACTGAGTAAGTAGGAATGGAACAAAACCAGCTTGGTTTCTGTCTTTGATCCATGGCATTAACTGAGTAAGTAGGAATGGAACAAAACCAGCTTGGTTTCTGTCTTTGATCCTTGGCATTAACTGAGAAATTAGGAATGGAACAAAACAGCTTGGTTTCTGTCCTTGATCCATGGCATTAACTGAGTAAGTAGGAATGGAACAAAACCAGACTTGTTTCTGTCTTTGATCCTTGGCATTGACTGAGTAAGTAGGAATGGAACAAAACCAGCTTTGTTTCTGTCTTTGATCCTTGGCATTAATTGAGAAAGTAGGAATGGAACAAAACCAGCTTGGTTTCTGTCCTTGATCCATGGCATTAACTGAGTAAGTAGGAATGGAACAAAACCAGCTTGGTTTCTGTCTTTGATTCTTGGCATTAACTGAGAAAGTAGGAATGGAACAAAACCAGCTTGGTTTCTGTCCTTGATCCATGGCATTAACTGAGAAAGTAGGAATGGAACAAAACCAGCTTGGTTTCTGTCCTTGATCCATGGCATTAACTGAGTAAGTAGGAATGGAACAAAACCAGCTTTGTTTCTGTCTTTGATTCTTGGCATTAACTGAGAAAGTAGGAATGGAACAAAACCAGCTTGGTTTCTGTCCTTGATCCATGGCATTAACTGAGTAAGTAGGAATGGAACAAAACCACCTTTGTTTCTGTCTTTGGTCCTTGGCATTAACTGAGAAATTAGGAATGGAACAAAACAGCTTTGTTTCTGTCCTTGATCCATGGCATTAACTGAGTAAGTAGGAATGGAACAAAACCAGCTTTGCTTCTGTCTTTGATCCTTGGCATTGACTGAGTAAGTAGGAATGGAACAAAACCACCTTTGTTTCTGTCTTTGATCGTTGGCATTAACTGAGAAAGTAGGAATGGAACAAAACCAGCTTGGTTTCTGTCTTTGATCCTTGGCATTAACTGAGTAAGTAGGAATGGAACAAAACCAGCTTGGTTTCTGTCCTTGATCCATGGCATTAACTGAGTAAGTAGGAATGGAACAAAACCAGCTTGGTTTCTGTCTTTGATCCTTGGCATTAACTGAGAAAGTAGGAATGGAACAAAACCAGCTTGGTTTCTGTCTTTGATCCATGGCATTCACTGAGAAAGTAGGAATGGAACAAAACCAGCTTTGTTTCTGTCTTTGATTCTTGGCATTAACTTAGAAAGTAGGAATGGAACAAAACCAGCTTGGTTTCTGTCTTTGATCCTTGGCATTAACTTAGAAAGTAGGAATGGAACAAAACCAGACTTGTTTCTGTCTTTGATCCTTGGCATTAACTGAGAAAGTAGGAATGGAACAAAACCAGCTTGGTTTCTGTCCTTGATCCATGGCATTAACTGAGAAAGTAGGAATGGAACAAAACCAGCTTGGTTTCTGTCCTTGATCCATGGCATTAACTGAGTAAGTAGGAATGGAACAAAACCAGCTTTGTTTCTGTCCTTGATCCATGGCATTAACTTAGAAACTAGGAATGGAACAAAACCAGCTTTGTTTCTGTCTTTGATCCTTGGCATTAACTTAGAAAGTAGGAATGGAACAAAACCAGCTTTGTTTCTGTCTTTGATTCTTGGCATTAACTTAGAAAGTAGGAATGGAACAAAACCAGCTTTGTTTCTGTCCTTGATTCTTGGCATTAACTGAGAAAGTAGGAATGGAACAAAAACAGATCTGGACCAAGCAGACCACTGGTTGAACACAAGGATTCAAAGCATGAGTGCATGGTTACATACAATCTGTACAGTTCCCATCAGCCAGTTATTGCAGCAAGCAATGCTGTGGATATCTGTTGCATTCCCCACATCAGAAACACCAGCCAACCTACCATCACCTGCCTGGGCATGCATGCATGTCCACATCAGGTGTATCTAGTACAGCAGAATAGCAGAATAGCAATAGCAGAATACAAACACAGGAAGTCTAGTTGCTTCTTGTCTAAGAAAATGCATTTGTGTGTGAGCTTGATTGAACAGTATTGTCTGTATCATGTGTCAAGTTGATGTTGGGAGATGGTCTGGGGTGAGGCACATCTTAGAGGTTTGCTACTTCTGTGAAACCCAGTGACGGGGTTTTGTGACCAAAGATCATAATTATGTTCACCATTTGAAAAAAAAAGACTATAAACTAACATGATTATGTACAGTTAGTACTGGACATAAAAAAAGACAAAACAAAATAGAAGAAAAAATTTAAGATTTCTGCTGTTATCTAGAGCAGAGCAAAAAACAGCAGAAAATATTTAAGCAGTAACTAAACATTTTCAGAAATTAATTTCACACTGTACTAAAGCCTACAACAACCATCACAGGATGCAAAACATTTCAGTCTGAAGCAGTCATTGGAAAATACAAGCATTTGAAATGGGGCAAAGTAGAAGCTTTGAAAGAAAAATGACAGTGAGTACATAGTGCACTGAAAGCTCGTAGCACAACATAGCTTGAAGATAAGGTGAAGATCAAAATGATAAGGCGAAGATCTGTACCAACCGATCTGCACTTACATGAACTAAGTCCTGTGTCGTCTGCTCGAAGGAAACAAAATGCCATGCAGTTACCAAGATTAGTAAAACGCAACAGTAACAGTGGAAAAGAATGAGTTGTGGTTTTCTTAAACCTTGATCTTGAAAATTGAGCCATGCTTGGCAGAAAAAAAGTTTGAGTGAGAGTGAGTTTCAATTTGAAGATTGCGGGTAAGCCTAAAACACACATATACTTCACAAAACATGGAATGCTTGTTTAACATTAGCATCTGTAGCTGGGATGAACCGAGGAACTGATTTGAAATGATGAAAATACATACACATGTTACACAGCCATAATGTTTGTTGGAGGTTAGGAATAATATAGGATGACACATCACATTGAAGTTGTACTCACTCTTACAATATCTGTCATCTTTAAATAAGGAGGGTTGAAATGTTGGAATGAAAACCATGATTGACAATCACAAACCAAACCGTTTCAATGAGCATATTCAAGTAGGCCAGACCATCATTCTGCCCTTGTTTCAATGATTCAAAACACACCTATTCTGAACAAACCTTTTGTTTGTAATTTTGTTTTGGGGTGATAAATTTTAGGTATGTCATCAAAAAGAAAATTAAACTCAATTTAAAAAAGCTTCGTATGATGAGGAAACTGTGTGAAACAAGAAACCTTCTGGCCTGGTCTTACTGTGAACATAACCTTACATTTGATATCTCTATGTTTCATCACACAGTATAACAGCAACATGCAGAGTAGTAGTATTTCAGGTCTGTATATATCATACAGTTTCAACACCGCAGGCATTCACATGCAATGTTTAGTTGTATGGTTAAAGAAGAGGAAAAACTTGGCACTCAACACAATCAAATTGTTAATGTAAATGAAAACAAAATGCCAGATTTCTAATAAGGATAATAAATGTATAGGATGTAGTTACTCAAGTCACATACAACAAAGAACTCTTATATCCTATATTACAGAGAGTATACCACTCCATCGTTTGGACTACACATCATCTTCTGTTACTACAGTTCTATAGAATTGCTGTTTTATAGGAAGAGGTTCCATCAAATTTAAGTCATTTTTTTTTATTTTAATATTTTCTGTACATATTGTTATTAAGTATGTAGGTTTCATTTTCATGTTAAAACAGTACATAAATATGTTTATATTGATCGGCAGATTCCATGTGTAATAACGCCAATTTCAGAAGCATATTCATTGCATCCTGATTCAGAATCACATACCATAAGATCATGGTCAGTACTTCATGTGTTGGTGAACACAATGTTTCTTCATCATCTGTGAACCCCTACAGACACTACTTGGTGTTGATGCTGTTATATACCAAGGAGTCCAGGAAGCGAGTGGGAAACTATTTCCCTGCAACTTGTTCCCCGGCACCTACCCACTGCTTCCATGTCAGGCAATGACGGGGTTCACATATACTACATGTATAGGCTGGGGATCACTGAGCTTCAATAAATACAGCCTCACTTCATCAACTAACACCAGCCGTGTGAGTATTATACTCATAGCAGCCATACTTTTAACCCATTCAACACCGCAGAGGCCTAATAATCGCCACAACGCTATGAGTCCCCAGACACCGGAGGCCGCATTAATCGCCAGGCAGTAGTCACGCCAAAATGAGACATAATTTTAGGAACCTACCTGACTTTTGATTCATATATCAAATCTATCACATTTCACAATGTCTGAAAACACTTATTAAATTTCAATTTATCATATATTATCAGCAGAATTAAAATTATAAACTATTTTTCGCAATATTATTGAAAACAACGATTCTCGACACATGCTTCGCAGCTGGTCCACAATAACATTGTCAAAGAGCAAAGTAACGATGTTTCGAGGAAATTATTAAATAAATTGAATAAACTAATGAATAAAATCAACAACAGCATTCATAAAAGTTGTCAAACGCATATATAAAATTACTATTTCCATCTTTTGTGCGATCATGTAATGCAAGTCAAGTCACTGACAAGTGACATCTCGCGCTCTACCAATCTTCACGCCGACACGATGTTTAATGCTAAAATACATACATGAAGCATTTTGTCACAGGTCATAACTCCAGCACGATACGTCCAATAAGTTCCATAATTTACGATTGGTAGCGCATTTCTTGCTTAATATGTTCAGAATAGCATTATTTTACCCAAAACTTTTGTCCAAATCTAAAAGATTTCGCCATTTAGGACGGTATCCATTGCCGTAATATGATTGGTTGCCTTAGGTCACGCGGTCTGATTTTGACCAATCACAACCCCTTATAGCAGACTGTGGCTTAAAAAGCCGCCATTAGAAACCAATCTTTATCCAATAAAATCGCTTCTTACAACTGTGAAAATACTCTTGGCAAGGGTACAGTGATATTGTTGATGTTCAGAGTTTTCGAACGATGCCCGACATCAAACGATTTGCCGCCAAGATGTTATTCATATGTAAGCTTCAAAACGGAGGTATTTTCAGTTGTTATGTCATTTTACCGAGCGGAAAGCCGCAGATATCGGAAATAGGCTAACCATACATATTGTTTAAGAAATCTTTTATAATAATTTTCTGATTACGAAAAAATGAAAATATAAAAGAAAAAAGGCACGGGCAATTTATGACATGTCACAAATGGAAAAATCGCCATAGTTTTTGCTCCTTTCGTGGTTTATCTGGACGCTATAAATGTAAGCTTGCATTTTCATTCAAATATAAATTTATTTAAGTTGTAGTTGTATTATTTGAATAATATTATAAAAATAAACTTCATATTTATCAACAGTAGGATTAGATCTTTTAAATGGTGTATGGGATGTAGTAGCAATAACGTTTTACAAGCTTATAATTTCCTTCACAAACATAGGCTTCATCTATGACCTCAGAGTCTCTGGGAACTCGGTGTCATGGCAGTAAATGCCTCTGGTTGACTGGTGTTGAAAGAGATAACTCATGTAATTACTGAAACAACCTTAAGTTGTATAATAACTGATGTTACTACTGATATAACCTTAAGTTGGTATAAAACTCATGTTACTACTGATATAACCTTAAGTTGGTATGTAACTCATGTTACTACTGATATAACCTTAAGTTGGTATATAACTCATGTTACTACTGATACAACCTTAAGTTGGTATATAACTCATGTTACTACTGACATAACCTTAAGTTGGTATATAACCCATGTTACTACTGAAACAACCTTAAGTTGGTATATAACTCGTGTTACTACTGATATAACCTTAAGTTGGTATATAACTCATGTTACTACTGATATAACCTGAAGTTGGTATATAACTGATGTTATTACTGAAACAACAATAAGTTGGTATATAACCCATGTTACTACTGATATAACCTTAAGTTGGTATATAACTCATGTTACTACTGATATAACCTTAAGTTGGTATATAACTCATGTTATTACTGAAATAACCTTAAGTTGGTATATAACCCATGTTACTACTGAAACAATCTTAAGTTGGTATATAACTCATGTTATTACTGATACAACCTTAAGTTGGTATATAACTCATGTTATTACTGATACAACCTTAAGTTGGTATATAACTCATGTTATTACTGATACAACCTTAAGTTGGTATATAACTCATGTTACGACTGATATTATCTCAAGCTGTTACATAACTGATTCCACTACTGATACAACCTTAAGTTGGTATATAACTCATGTTATTACTGATACAACCTTAAGTTGGTATATAACTCATGTTACGACTGATATTATCTCAAGCTGTTACATAACTGATTCCACTACTGATATAACCTTAAGTTGGTATGTGACTGAAGTAACCTAAACTTTGTATATAACATGCTATCATTGATATAACCTCAGCTTGCTATATAACATACTGACATTATCTCAACTCGTTACATAACTGATGTCCCACCTAACATACCGGTATGTTTAGTATACACTGCTGTATGTGGTATGACAGCAGTGTGTCAACGGCTGTCCTACCTTTCTCTGTGGGAGGAGACAACAAGCTGTCGTTGGCGGCCAGCAAGAACTTCAGCAAGGCCTCCCAGGTGGCACGGGTCAGGATATTAGACTCTTTGGCCACGCCCTCGATTGCCCGGAGGACCCGGTGGCACAGCAGGGCCTGTCTCTTGACTAAGTCAACACCTGAGGAACAGTCAATAATGTGTGAGTTAGTGGAACAGCCTGCCCATGCCTGTTTCTGTCATGAAACTATATCATGGCTGCCTGGACAAACTGACCAGTCCATGGTTGGCGGAATGTTCCCCACTGCCAGGGTATGTTGATACACCATCCTCCAGGTCACACACAGTGTGGTCAGCTAAACCGTGGGGTTCTGGAGGCCTGTCATCACCATCCTCCAGGTCACACACAGTGTGGTCTGCTAAACCGTGGGGTTCTGGAGGCCTGTCATCACCATCCTCCAGGTCACACACGGTGTGGTCAGCTAAACCGTGGGGTTCTGGAGGCCTGTCATCACCATCCTCCAGGTCACACACAGTGTGGTCTGCTAAACCGTGGGGTTCTGGAGGCCTGTCATCACCATCCTCCAGGTCACACACAGTGTGGTCTGCTAAACCGTGGGGTTCTGGAGGCCTGTCATCACCACCCTTGTACCCTTGCATTGTATTACAAAACATTTGTTCAGCAGTAGATGTGCGTCCTACCCAGACTTTGCATGAGGTATAGAAATGAGTGTTAACACTTGATTGATCGATAGATATTTTAATCAGCTATAAATGAGTGCGAACATCGATCCACATAGTTGTATGGTGAGATTAATTCCAAAAGGGGATTACAGAATAGTAACCTAACATGATTGCTCATATACTGGTGAATGTCTTCCTGGATGTATCACCTTCTATCCTGGGTTCTTTTATGTTGCAAGGCGTAATGACGATCAGAAATGATTTGACCTCAGGGTGATGATTATAATATAAAGTATTTGCAGTGAAGCCTATGCTACTTATTCATGGGACTTTCTTGTTGACTAAAGAAAATTGGACAGAAAATATAACTAGCAAGCTACTTTGCATGGCCTCAATTAGGGCTTCAATGAGTCAATTTTCTTTGACTCAAGTACTCAAGAGGTCAGACTCGACTTCGGACCGAGAACTCGAAATTCATACCTTTCAAGCAAATGATAGCGTAACTGGCATGACATAACAAAAAGCGATGATTGTTTGATCAATACTGAAGTTGGTAACTTAGTAATACACATTCATGTTGTTTACCATTCTCTTCCCACAGAGGTTACTCCTATCATATCTTCCTACGTAACCTTTGTTCTAATACGGCCCTTTCATGGTGTGAGCGTTCAAGACTTCGTGATTGGAGGCAATCAGATTTAGTTGTGCAATCAGCGACGTTGTTTCAAAAGTGATCATTCGCAAAGGCCTCGGTAATTTCCGTATGCTTGGAGAAAACTAAACTTCTTCCCCTGCGCGATGCACAAACGTTTCTTGTAGACAGAACTCAGTCATGTTATGGCGGATCAGTGGCGTCTCCATCGCCCTCGTTGACAACGGACAAGCTACCCATTAAACGTCTTGTGTGTAACATCAACACAAGTCCCCGGCAGATGGGGGATATTTGTGGCCCCACATTTGCTTGTGTTAGTCAAGTTGAAGTGAAGTCGATGTAACACGTGTTCTGATTGGTTAGAAAGAAGGGAGATAATTCGTGTTGCGATCTTTTGCTGCTAGGGGATTTTACGAGAACCGGGAAATATGGCCGTATTAGAACAGAGGTTCGTAGGAAGATATGACAAGTAACCTCTGTGGGAAGAGAATGGTTGTTTACACGACAAATGGTTTTTCATCGTACTGGTTATACTTCCATGCATAACTCAGTGTTATACCGCACAGACGGCATTTGTTTTTCTTTTCAAGATCCAGATCAAATTATGCCCATATTTTTTATCTTTCTCCATGTCTATCAATTGTCAACAAGATACTGTAAGTTACTTAATCATTTTAAGAAGTGAAGTCTCAAACGATGTATAATGTCAAATGTTAAAGGCCACTCATGCTCAGCACATGGCAGACAGACAGTCTGACAACATAACCAAATTCGAGTTACCTCCCCTTATCGAGTCTGAGTTTATGGACTCTTGTCCAGGTAAATCTGACTTGTGCTCGAGTACTCGAGTACCCTTGGAAGCCATAGACTCAAATCCTTGATGCTAGCTTTGCATTCCATAGGATTCACACAGAAAATCAACTAAATCTATGCAGTGCTTTGCGTCTGGTAAAACCCTGCACAATGTCACAATCAACGCTTAGTCTATGAACATATACTCATGGTAAAAAGTTAAGCAACACCCATATTTTGATAAATGATGACACAAATAGGATTGACAGTAGCTGGATGGAGACTTTGGCATGCTTGGTTTTTGTATCCTACACGAAGGAAATGACAATGAAACTGAAGTATGATACAAAAGACAACATTTACTAGTGTGATGGTGTTTATTGAGAGCAAAACAAAATGTACAGTGAAAAACAAGAAATTTTATCACTGTACATGTTTGGAATCAATGTGAAGGAAAAAATGACGTTTGAAAGGAATAGAGAGAAATGGTGCAAGAAACAAACAGTTGACTGTCTCCAGTACTGTTTAAGAGTACAGGAAGCAATCAGTATTCAGTGTATCCTCCTCTGTGTTTGATGACAGATGCACACCTATTGGACATTGACCGAACCAACCTTTTAAGAAATTGCATTGGCAAATTGTTCCATTCATGGACTATGGCGTTTCTGAGCTGATTCAAGTTGTCAACAGGATTGTCATGTCTGGTAATATTGCGGCCAATCTCATCCCAAACATGTTCTATGGGGTTTAGGTCTGGACTGACACTGGGCCATTCCAAAGATTAAATTCCAAGTTGATTTTTGGCGTCCTGTACAATGCCTGCACGATGAGGACGTGCATTGTTGTCTTGGAGGATTAAGTGTCTGTTTGGATTGGCATGAATGAATGGCATAATTGAATTGTTAATGACGTCATTGAGGTACTTTTGACCTGTCATTGATCCCTGAACAACTTTGATGTCAACTTTATGGTCATACGTGAAGCCAGCCCAAACCATTACAGATCCCCCACCACCAGCAACAGTTGGCAGAACACATCTGGGGTTCAATCTGTCTCCAACAGTCCTTCTGACGCGCAAGCGACCATCAGCAACGTGAAGATTGAATCGGGATTCGTCTGTCCATATGATACGACACCATCTTTGCAGGTTCTAACGACGTCGTTGACGGGCCCATTCCAAACGAGCTTGCTTGTGGTGAGTGAGTAAACGAGAATGCTTGAGAGGTCGTCTTGCCCTCAAACCACCGGAAACGAGATGTTTGTTCACTGTTTCCCGAGAAATGTTTCCACCAGTCACTTGCGGCCATTGTTGACGGAGTAGATTTGCTGACTTGAAGGGATTTCTTTGAGCCAAGCCCAGTAGATAATGGTCTTCTCTGGCTGTGGTCTTCCTTGGACGACCAGATCTGGGTCTATCCTCAACATCACCAGTGTTTCTGTACTTTGAAAGTAGTTTGCTCAACACACTGTAATGGAGGTTAACGGCAACTCCAATTTGACGTAAGGACATACCAGCATCACGCATGTCAACAATTTTCCACCTAACAGCTGACGTGACACGAGTTCGAGCCATTCTGATGTTTCTGAATATCACTTTCAATTTCAAATTACAAGTGACAAAACCATGTGAATGACTTCGGCTCCAACGTGATGCAAACACATGGAAATCTCGTGCATGATCGTGAACATTGTGCATGTTTCATGGAGAGTTATTGATGGTGCTACATTTCAGTAACAATTGTTTGGCTCTACAAAACACATTTCGTCAGTTATTCATCATAATATACAGGTGATGCTTAACTTTTTACCATGAGTATATATAGTGCATAATTTTGATTGTAACAAATAAACCCATTTAAAAAGAAAAGGAGCCCCAGGGAGACCAGAGATTCAGAACCTGAGGAAAGCTAGACTTGCCTCATTTAGGGCTTTAGCATTGCAGGGAGGGCTAGGCAGTGGGGAACATAAACTAGTTCAGGGACTGTCAGACAGACTATATCACAGTCAATATCATTTTAGGCTTTTCAGGGGAATGTTTTTATCTGTTATCACTATTCTCGTCATTTGCTTCCTTACACTTGGACCTATTCTCCCTAGGCAACGATGGAAACACCCTACCTCCCAGCTTCATTGACCTACCAGCTGCTGGCCGTGGTTTGAACAGATTCAACAGATGGTGCAGCATGTCCTGAGCATAGGGGTTTGGGTCGTCAACAATGGGGCGTGGCACACATGGCCTGGGAACAATCAGTGCAGTCAGCCACTCGCAATACACCTTCACACAGTCATTGATGGTGTCATGTTCATTCAGAGGTAGGCCCAGGCCATAGCACAGCACCTGAAACATAATATTGCAAACAGCAAATATAATTTACAGTCACTGGACATTAGGCTGTCTATTTTAATTCTCAGATTGTGAGATGGGTGGTGCAAAATATAGACAATATTTCACAAAACATATTCACAAATCATTATTAATATTGATCAGCTGGCCAGGTGTGTTAAAATCAAATGGTTACTTTACTTTCTGGCCTACTTTTGGTCATGACAGGAATTAGCAAGAAGACAAAGTCATCAATATCCCCCGCAATGGCAAAATACTCTTCATGATTATGTCTCCGAGTTATGATTATGTCAAATATTTAGGTGTGTACATAGAAAAGTGGAAGGAGAGTATTGAAAGGTTTTTGAAGTTCTGCTCCAGAAAGCAGCACTATCACCAATTTCAGGTTAAGTCAAACTTGTTGCCATGGAAATGCCAAAAATATTTTATTCAGAATTCCAAAACTACCAAAAGGCACCAGTACACCACCAAATCTATCTATGTGCCAAGTTTTGTGAAGAAATATTGAACGGTTTTAGAGTTCTGCTCCGGAAAAGAGCACTACCACTAATTTCAGTCTAAGTTGAACTTGTTGCCATGGAAAGGCCAAAAATGTTTTATTCAGAATTCCAAAACTACCAAAAGGCACCAGTACACCCCCAGATCTATCTATGTGCCAAGTGTGGGGAAGAAATATTGAACGGTTTTAGAGTTCTGCTCGGAAAAGACAAATGTGCGGCAGACGGACAGGCGGGACTTAGGACGCGACGCATTACGCCGCGGACGGAGTCCATTTTAATACCCCCTGCAAAACGTGTTGCAGGGGATAATTAACTTATCTTATGGTTGCAAAAATTGGAGTTGAGACAAATAAGGATGAACAATTATAACTCGGTCTCGGAGAGAGTAAGTGCTGAAAATGAAATGTAATTGTGTGAGTATAAGCAAATCTACTTTTCATCACCTTTACTGCCTACCCTTGACTGCTTACCTGGCTTTTCAGTTATTTTGTTATATAACCTGTTCTTGTTTACGTTATTAGCCATTGTTATCATGCATGTTATGTACATTGCTCAAAGATTATATATATATATATATATATCTCCATATCCAGTCTGTCTCATTCAAATAGATTAGCTAAAATTAGATTTATATTTTGTTTTGAGAGTATGTTGACTTCTTTTACACTTCTCTTCACACTACATGCTAAAAATCTTCAACAAAATTACAATGTTCTGTTTTGTGTAGTCCCAATCAAAACAGAACAACGCCTTCACATGATATAAGGTCGCTTCATGAGAACTGTGAATTCTGTGAATGCTGTTTCATGCTTGTGAGGAATATTCCACCCATATCAAGGCAGTCTGTAAACAATCAAATGTTGGACAGGTGAAAAATTATCAGCTCAGGTGACAGTGTAACAAGTGAATATCTAATGTTAATATCACATTCTCAGCCTGCACTGGGACTAACACCTAGGTCGGTTCCCCTGTGTTGTTTATATGTTGTGACATGCCTGCATAAAGACAGTTGCATCAGGAATCTGTAATAATTAGATTGGTCCTGACTGAAAGTTAAAGTCTGACTTGTACATAGTCTTTGTAAATTCAACAGTTCTCATCTTGTGGTTTGCACCTTCTTCAGCTTTGGTAGTTGTAACTCATTTGTATTAGAGCAGCTATCTACCTTTTTTAAAGTATTTAGGAAAAAGTATTTGGGTTTGTTGGTATATATTTTAAAACTAAATGCTAAGCCTGTTAAACTGGAGTGAGTGAGTTGGGTTTTATTCCGCTTTTAGCAATATTCCAGCAATATCACGGTGGGGGAAACCAGAAATGGGCTTCACACATTGTACCCATGTGGGGAATCAAACCCGGACCTTCAGTGTGCCAGCGAATGCTTTAACCACTTGGCTACCCACCACACCTGTGGGTTTACCTCTATACATACACCTGCAGTGATACCCACGACAAAGGCTGCCACGGCGTACGGAATCCATGGTGGGTAGGAATCGATTTCTGATGCCTAGCTAATGCCCCTCTTTTACCGGTGGCTACTTTTTTCGGATGCTTGGGTTTCTTCTTGACGGTATCAATCGCTTGCTGAGGGGTTTCTTCCTCCACAGGTGTCGAAGTCGGCTCCGTCATCTTGTATATCATTAATCGGGCATTTATGTTTAAATTGACAGTGCTCCGTCGTAATGATCACCGCAGTGATCGGAGCTAAGAACACACCGTATCCATGATACAACTCACAACTGAGCGTGTTCAGGGTGTGACCAATAAACGGATCTTTGTCGAGATCTTTGCACAAGTAAGGTCGACGTTACGGTGGAATGGGAAGCAGAGACGAAGCAATCACGGTGTAGAATTGCGTTAGAGTCGACCCTATGGTTTTCTTCAATTCAGCGCTGAATCGTGCTTCATATCTCGTGTACAGTTTATCGATGTCTCCCTCAGACATTTTATAAATTTTATCGGTGGTGATGTTTTCACCCAAGTATTGTTTCCCCTTCCCACCCACGACGAGGGCCATGAGTCTTTCACGCTTATCCCTGACGCGGGAGGACGCATCTTCACCCTCCTTGTCCTCCTCGGATATCATTTGTTCCAGCATGTGGTCCAACTCCATCTTATAATACATCAATCAGGTTTTAAATCTAATATAATGAAATCCGGCATAACCCAAACAGAACGAGATGAATGCCAGGTAAAACAACACGGCAATTTCAAATGTCGTCATGGGTTTTTATATATAAAGGCTATACATTTAATTTGCTTAACATTGCTAAGCTATTTGCTAAACATTGCTACGCATTGCTAAGCATTGCTAGAAGTTTGCTAAGCATTGCTAAGCATTGCTAAGCTGTTTACTAAACATTGCTAAGCTAGCACACTGTATAAGCCACGGGTTGGTCTGTTTTCAATAGGATGGCGTGTTTCAAGGCTACGTCAGTTGCATGACAAACGATCGACCCGGTTAGAAGAGGCGTCGTACAACCGAGAAGCCCTTGAAGCCAGATCAGTCGCATTCGCAAAACCATGGACCGAGTCCTCATGGAGGACACCACGTTAGCCGAACGGCTTAAAACGTTATTCAGAGAACAAGGGGTTACCATCGCCAGCGTTCTAACGGCTTTTGGTTTCATCATATCGACCCTGGTCCTAGAGCTGACAGGTGGCGGTGGAAGCACACCACCAAGCCCAGCACCACCACCCAAAAAAGGTGGCGACGTCAGAGACTGGGTCAAAAAAGTTGAAATTGCTTGGGGAAGCCTTGGCGAAACTGGCCGGCAAAGCCCTGCCAGGCATCGTGTCCTGGTTGCTGGGCTTGTTGTTGAAAATGGTCACGTGGCTCGGCCAGAACCTGTGGGCGGTCGTCTTCGGCGTGGCCGGCCGGTGTACGTTGCCACTAAAGAATTTTTAACCAAATGAGGCTCACCCCGACCGCAATCCCACCGCCCACGAGCGCCGTTTTACGATCGAGGTGTTGCTGATGTTCGACCTCCTCACGTGGTGATAGGCGTGGTGGTGATGGTTGAACGCTGGGCTCTGGTGAAGGTGGTGGCGTCACGATCCCAGTTTCGCCGGTACGCGAGGGCAGTGGGAGGTGAATCACGTTGACATCGGGGTTGGCCCAGTTTCTGATCGTGCGGTCGACCAATGGCGATTTCGTTCAGTTGTAGCCCACCACTTTGTGGATCCTCAACGCATATCACTTTCCGAAGCCTTGTACAATCCGGCTGCTCCACCTTTGAACGGCGACTTTTCGACACCGGGTGTATTAAAATCCATACGATTGTCTTGCCATTCACGCTGGATGGCACTGTCGGAGCCAACCACTTTTCAGTAAACCATCACTGACTTCTTTCACGGATTTCGCTCCACTGTACGGAATGCCCAACCCGTGGTTCGTACCGGTATACGCCAATCCGTGTTTGAGTCGATTTCGAATCTGTTCGTAAACTCGCCGATCGTATGGATTGTTCGATGCATCCCATGCCTTGTCCTGTGGCATCGGTGCGCTTATCTCTTTGAGGATGCGTCTGATCTGTTAATACATGTGAAAATAAATACGGACTGACTCAGTGGATCACGAGTGTCGTTCAAGGTCACGCCGCACCCTGTCGTCGCGCACCACACGGCGAAATTGAATTGATCCTTCCAGAATCGCATCGGGTTGTGATACCATGCATGGACTGCCTTGACGTTCGTGACCGAAAGCCTATACTTTTCAAATACATCGATAAATCGGGCTAGAAAGTGGGAACCCTCCTTCGCATCCACCACAATCTTCATGTGCGTGAGATCGGTAGCACTTACATTATCGCTTTTAGGATGAAACACTCCCGGTGTATACTTGGGTGTAGACATATTGAATGTATATTATAATGTCTTGTATATGTGTAACATGTTCGTTACGCTCCGAAGAATCAGGAGTGGCGAGCCCGTTCAACTGCTACACGCAATCGATAACACATCGGGACGACTTGAAGTCACTCTCTGTGATCTCACCTACTACCCACGTTGGTCGAATATCAGTCAACATCAAGGGAACAACAGACTATTCATCGATGGCAAACGCCACGATTTGTCCAACGGTTTGTAGAGAGTTTGTAATTTGAACAATGAAATTTTGAAACCCATTGGAGCCCACATCAAACTCAACGAATCGAATGGCACGCTGACGTTGACGGCTGGGGAAAAAACCCATCCGACTCAGTAAAGCTTTGGCTAGAACGCTCGGGTTGACGTCTAATGAAATACGACCTCGAGAGACCGTCACAGGTTCGAAATTACCGAACCTCGTGGTCTATCACGAACTGTTCGTTCATCTCGATCAGGTAAGCATGACCGATAATCTTCGAAGCAAACACCCTTCCACGCTGCCAAGAGCCGAGCCAGTCAAAACAGAAAAGAGCAACTACGGTCGAACCGAATCGTTTTCGACCCTGCAGTACAAAGGGTTAACGCAGGGAATGATCACGGAATTGAAACTATCCATTTTAGATATAA